TCCGAAGCTGGGCGTCCGAAGTTATTCACCGGGCTATCTATATCGATATGCAACCAAGTCTGGCCACACACTTGATGCACCGTACTTACCTTTAAGCCTAACCACAAACCTCTTGTTTTCATTATGTCGAGGTAAATCACACATGAATGAGTTTTTGTTCCCGTTTGCAAGATGGTCGAAAGTTCCAGTTCTGGCCATGGCAATAATAAGCCAGGCCGCATTATGATTTAGTTTCTTTCTAAGGAATGTATCGTAATATGCATATGCCAAATGATTGAACAGCGCCGGTTCCATGCAGTGTCGAATGCCCGTAATTAAACCCTCGCTATTGATAGACCCAATTTACCACGTTTGTCGTATGACCATGATCATCTTCGTTCCCCGTCTTCCGGTCGGCCATTTACAAACCGCAGGCGTTAAGGCCGACCTGAGTGGCCTGGACGTCGACGCGGCCGAGCTGGACAGCCTGGCCGTTGGTCAAGTCGTTCATGGCGCCCAGGGCGAGGTTGAAGCCGGAGCTGGCGTGGTCGATGGCGAGCACGTTGATGCTCTTGCCGTTGTAGGTGAGCTGCCAGCAAGTGCCGCACTGAAGGAGAAGTGTTAGTTCCGTGGACTTTGTTGGAAGAGACAAGAATGTTGTTTTTTTCTTTTCCCCCTTTCTCTTTTTGTCTCGAAAAAAAGCGAGAGGGAAGGAAAGGTCAACTTACGTTGGGGGAGTTCCAGCCGCCGACGACGTCGGCGCCGCCGATGTGAGGGAAGCCGGCGACCTGGCCCTGGTTCTGCCAGCCGTACTTGGTGATGAGGCCGTTGACGCCGTCGGAGCAGGAGACGGCGGTCATGGAGCGGGAGGCGTCGTCGTAGCCGGTGTCGTAGGAGACGGAGACGGCGGCGGCGGCGGCGACGGAGGAGAGGAAGGTGACAAGGCTGGAGAGCTGCATGTTGGCTGAAAGGGGTGTGTGTATTTGAGGGCGGTGAGAGTGGTGTTTGTAGAGGGGAGCTCGAAAGCCTTGACTTGGAAAGGTTGCAAGTGGTGATTGAGGAGGTTGATAGAGGAGGTTGATAGAGAGGAAGCTGATGAGGATGGAGGCTAATAATGATGTTTCCGACGAGGCGAGAGAAATGAGTCTCTTTATACAACTTGGACATCCCGTTGCCCCATCACCAGTTACGAGCCGAGGCGTGACAGGTCCTCCCCTGCGGTCAACGGAGAAAAACACAAACGGAGGCACCAATGACGTTGTGGCTACTGGGGCAAAAGCGAGAGAGCATCATGTCACCACATGACCGGCACAGAGACCCGGGGCCCAGCTTGGCGCGGGTGCTCCATCCTGCATATCACGTCGTATGGGACGACTGCCGGAAGGGGCGCAAGCTTCACTAGGTATTCCTCCGGTTCGTATTTGCGGGTGAGAGGTGAGGGTTGGGAGGCGGACAGAGCCCGATACCACCCTGCCCAGGAAGGCTGGGGAAGACAAGGGAAAGACCAGGGCAGCGCCGATGACAGATCTGGGTATCGATGTGGGGAAGAGAGAAAGTGTGTGTGCTACTAGAACCCGTGAAGGAAGAAGCGAGAATCTCTGTTCGTATTCACTAGCCTCACCGATCCCTGACCGGCGTTGGTACCCGTTTGTCTTTGGAGAGAGAGAGAGAGAATGCCCTTTTCCTCCCGTCATGCTGCTGTTTTTAGCATCAAAAGACCGCTAGGGTCGGTTCGGGGTTAGCGGCCGTAGCCAGCGAGTGCGGAACGGGACATCAGCAGACTCAATCAGGCACTGCCGCAGTAAGCGGGATATCCATCCGTATCTTTCTGAACTACCTACCTAGTTGAGGTCTTGTGGCTGTCGATCTCGTTTAATCCGTTTAGAGAACCTCCTCCTCCCAATGTGCCTCTTTTCCCCCCCCCTTCTTTCTCCAACACAGACCGTGTGTTTCTTTCCTCTTTTTGTTTTTCCCCACATCTGTATGTGGGTCCTCTTCATTGACGGAAAAAGGCGGGCCAGCACCAGTCAGGTGGTCTCTCTTTTCTTCGTGTTCACGGAGAGACGAGAGACGGGTCTCTCGGCCGACGCATCCATCCAGTTGTCGCCCTGTTTGTTGCTGCCGCTTTCCAGCCTCTTCCCCTGTCGCATCATCCGTTCGAGAACTTGATCCTCTCGCACCTTGAAGAGTCTCCAAGGATGAGGCTAGCGGCTGAGGCAAACGCCCATTGTCGTTCCTCCACATCCTGTCACCATTCCCACATACATAACTAGATAGGCGACCACGACAGGAGGAGACTAATAGACCCGAGTGCGCTTCACGCTGACCGAACGAACGCGGCGTCAGGCAACGTTGCAAGCGCGCAAGCGCGGATCGGCGGTCGGTCAGACTGACTAGTGATGTTACCTCACCACGGTTCGTCCGATGCATCCGCAACTCGCCGCTCCCCACCGCTCTCTCCGGCTGAGAATAGACTCGGAACACTGCCGCAAGCGTTTTGTGCCGTCTGTCGAGTGGCAGCTCCTTTAGCATTAGGTTTCTACTGTCTGCCGACATGGACTGACCGCCAGGCATCCGCATGATAGATGGTGGGGCTCGCGGAACACGCCAGAACACGAGCTCTAGTCTCGTTTCCCCCCGCTTGTCTCGATCCTCGAAGCGGTGTACGATCGTCCCCGAGAGTCGTTGCATCCAGAAGTGATACTCTGGGGAAATAGTCGCTCATAAAGGGGAACCGTAGAGTTGTGTGCTCCTGCTACACTCATCAGCCATCATAGGCTACCTCCCAGATAGATGCACGAGAGGAATCGATCGATGGAGTGACCTCCGAAATGATTGCCCCCCTCACAAGATGGGCTGTTCAGTTCAGGGGTCCTTGTTGAGTATTTTCTGTCATCGGACGAGCATCTTGAACTGTCCGGGGTGCTTGGGTAGGATCCCCGGACGGACGTATTTGATGTCGGATGCATGGAATCCCATTTGACGTCAGGGCCGCCATATCAGCCCTTCCTATGGTTGACTTGGCCAGCGTTGTAGAGCAGTCGCATCACCAGCCTCTCGTCAAGGCCTCTGGGCATGAGGTGTAGTTGGAAGAAGAGGTTACCATTGGCAAGAGCCTCGAGCAGAGAAAAGCGTGAGGAGGGTTGAGGGAAACGGGTGCGAAGATAAGATAAGGCTGAGGGCAGCATCACACACGCATTGGCCAATGCAAGGCTTAGAAGTCCACCCCGCACTCGACCAGGTACCAAGGTAATTGTATCCGTACCTACCTACGGAGTAATCTAGGTACCTACCTCCCTAACCGATGCGATGAGGGTTGTCCCTTACCCCCCCACCGCAACAGCTCAGCCGCTGAGACGCTCCGGTCATCGGGGTGACCTCAAATTTTTTGAGTCAGGAACAACATCAGTCAGGTATCGCGTGATAGCCTCTCACTTTCGCTCACAGTTCCCCGCCTTTTTTGCAGTCGAACTCACCATCATCTCATTCAGAAGGTAGGCTTTCATAAGACTGAATCGCCACATCCGCTTCAATTCCTTTCGTCATCGGCCGCTTGCCTCCCTGCCTTACCCCCTCCCCCCGGCTCCCCTACTAGCCCACCCCCCCCCTCATCACGACTTACACCGCCTGCCCGTCATGACCAAGGAGACGTTCGTGATCAAGACGCCCTCGTCCTCAGCCAACATTGGCCCGGGCTTCGACGTCATCGGTCTCGCCCTCTCCGTCTACCTCGAGCTCCACGTCACCGTCGACCGCTCCCGGACGGCCTCCTCGGAGCCCCTCAACTGCCGCCTCACCTACGAGGGCCAGGGTGAGGGCACCGACGACATCAGCCTCGACCCCTCTGTCAACCTCATCACCCGCGTCGCCCTCTACGTCCTGCGCTGCCACGGCCAGCGCATGTTCCCCGTCGAGACCCATGTCCACATCAAGAACCCCATCCCCCTTGGCCGCGGCCTCGGCAGCTCAGGCTCCGCCGTCGTCGCCGGCGTTATGCTCGGCAAGGAGGTCGGCCATCTCGACCACCTCGATCTCGACAGGCTCTTTGACTTTTGCTTGATGATTGGTGAGTCCCACCCCGTCCCGCGCGCGCCTTGTCGTCCATGCTCACGCAGGAAACCTCACAGAGAGACACCCCGACAACGTTGGCGCCTCGCTGTACGGCGGCTTCGTCGGTACCTACCTTCGTCCCCTGAAGCCCGAGGACGTCCAGCGCATCGAGATCCCCCTGAGTGAGGTCCTGCCCGCCCCGGCCGGCGGCGTTGACACCGGCGAGACCCCGCCCGAGCCGCCCCACGGTATCGGCCACCACATCAAGTTCCCCTGGGCCAAGGAGATCAAGGCCATCGCTATCATCCCCGACTTCCAGGTCCCCACCCACCTCGCCCGCGAGGTCCTGCCGCCTCACTACACACGTCCCGATGTTGTAAGTGGCCATCCCCCCCCCCCTCTCGCCCCTTCTGACTCCGCTCATCCCCGGCTGACACCCTACGCAGACCTTCAACATGCAGAGAATAGCCCTCCTTCCCGTGGCCCTTAGCACCTCGCCGCCCGACCCGGAGCTCATCCACCTCGCCATGCAGGACAAAATCCACCAGCCCTACCGCCAGACCCTGATCCCGGGCCTGGGCCAGGTCGTCGAGAGCATGTCGCCCAGCACACAGCCGGGCTTCCTCGGCGTGTGCCTGTCGGGCGCCGGCCCCACCATCCTGGCGCTCGCCACGAGCAACTTTGAGGAGATTGCCGAGAGCATCATCAAGATCCTCAAGGAGAACAACGCCGACAAGAACATCGGCTGCCAGTGGAAGGTCCTGGAGCCCGCTGAGGGCACGCAGGTCATCCGGTGAACGGGGGGTCATGGGATTCGTTTGGTTTGGTATGGGAAAGGACAAAAAGAAAAGGGGGGGGGGGGGGGGTTATTGTTTTTGAGAAGAACATTATAGAGGTTGGGAATTCTAGAAACTCCTTATGATACCCACATGGCCGCCGGGATCCTCGTGACGGTACGGTCGTCGTTCTCTCTACGCGCGTCGTGTACTCGGGCTCGTCGGCCACGTCGCCACCTTGGCCTTGTACTTCTCGAGCCTGTCCTCGAAACGCTCTCCGTTCCAGACCTCTTTGCCGTTGACCACCTCCCTCTCGGGCGGCCCGATCTGCTCGATCACGAAACTGGCCGCGACGGCACCCCACGCGGATGCCAGCGCATCGTCTCCCGTTTTCGCGAAGGCGACGGCGAATGCGCCGAGGAAGGCGTTGCCGGCGCCCGTGGGGTCGACGACCTTGGGCGAGCCGTAGTCGTGGAACGGGGGCCTCCACACGGGGCTAGCACCCCAGCGAACGGTCAGGCAGCCTTGGTCGCCGCACCTGATGACCGTGATTCCCCTGTCGGACGTGTCGGGGACGGAGGGGCCGCCCAGGAGGTCCTCGCCGCTGCCGCCTCCGCCGCCTCCGCCGCCTCTGGCGAGCCGGACGGCAAAGGCCTCGACCAGTGCTCTGTTGTAAGGGATCCCCGGGCCCTCCTCCACGCCCATCATGCGCAGCAGCTCGTGGTCGTTTGGCGAGCAGACGTCCGACAAGCCAGCCGCCCGCATGTGGTCGTCCTCCCTGTCGGAGATGCCGATGGGCGAGGGCTCCCATGCGACCAAGGGGCGAGGACCGTCGGCACCAGCACGGCGCGCCACAAGGGCCGAGACGTGTCGCTCGAGGTCCTCGGGTGTCGCCAGGACATGGATGACCGATGACCCGAGAAGCGAGGCCGGAAGCCCGTCCACGGTCGGGTGGAGAGGGGGTGTGGTGTACCGGAACGTTTTCTCTGCCCATCGTCGTCAACACGTGCTCCGCGTCAAGGGAAAGAGAAAAAGGAAGAAAAAAAGAAAAAAAAAACGGACTCCCAAAAGCGTCATCCTCGTACTCCAAGAGGCCCCTGGTCGAGCGTGCACCGGGCACCTGTTCCATGTGCATGCTGACGCCCCATTCCTCGATTTGTCTCCTCACCGAGGGAGGGAAGTCGGATCCGGCCGTGACGAGGCAGCAAACGGCCGCGGACTCGTCCTGTGGGACAGCGAGGCGGGCGCCGAGAGTACCTGTTCACTCAGACATGGCTCAGCAACACGCCCAGGTCCCAACGGGCGGTTGGGTGGGGGAAGATGCTTGGAACAGGCTCAGAAGGAGAGGGCAAGGGGAGCAAGCAAGCATGTAGGGTATGTACCGTAGAAACCGGAGCCGCCGGGGACGTCGCGGAGGACCCTGCCGTCCGGGAAGCGGATCTCGTCGAGGACGACCATCCCGAGCGATACGAAAGCCGGAGGCGGCGCGGGGAGCGGGTCTGGAGGTACTCGGGGGGCGGTCATGGTTGGGCTGGCACGCGCAGGAATCACGTATAGAGGGGGTTGTGACTTGTTGAGCCTGAAGTGAGGACTCACTCTCTCCACAAATAATACCTCCCCCTTCGAATGGAACTGTGGGCGAGGAAACGCAACCTGATTGGATCACCGGCGTCGCTCCGATCTGGTCCTGAATTGACTGGGGTCTCGCTGGGGCCGTATAAGACCGCTGTCGGATGCACTCCCTTTAGAAACACGGCCTTCTGGCTGTACCGGGGCGGAAGCCTCACTACAGCGTTGCGTGCTGCTGCTTCTTGCTCCGTCTTGGCTAATTATCTACCTTGAAGTGATAGGAGGGTTTATACAATATGTAACATTTGCTGGTAGTTTTGGAGTTAGATGTGAGCTAAATCTAGCTATATATCCAGCCTTAGTACGTACGGATAAACTGTTACAAAAGCAACCCCATTACTAGTTGCAAACATGCATATACCAGGGTGCTGAACCTGTATTACCGCGTTGTGTGATATACAAGCTGCTGATAGACCTTGTACTATTATTAAAAACCCCGCAAGGAAGCCAACTACTGACTTCAGTACCAAGGGGGGCCCCTAGTTTTCTGACTATGTTCTGCGACTTGAAGACGAACTGCAACTGGTTTATTATGTTGCTTTCATTACTTATAGTGTCTGAGAGATTTTCAGAGATAGCGGCAGCTTGCAGCCAGACCAGCAGTGGCTTCTCATACGACTTGCTTATAACAAGTTACAGCAAATAGAGAAGGTCGAAAGTATATTACAGGGTCAATTTTGGGTTCTAGAGGGCTGTACAAGTGGAAGTTGGTTGGCTATTTTAGTTGACGTTGGACTACAGCTGACTTGGAAAGCCTTAGCAAGAAATGCTGTACAGGATGGACTTTTTAATAAAGTACGAGTAATCAGTGAGAATTGAATCTTGTAGAGATTCATACTCTTATTGGAATGTGAAGCAGTAACAGAAAAGAATATTGCTGCACCACTGTAAGACAACTGCTACTTCCTAAACTACGAAGAAACGAATTTGACATTACTTAGAGTTGACTTATGTTGTAGAGGCTTTAGAGCCTTTGAAATCAAAGTAAATTAGACCTGACTTGCGCAAGCGTATCAATCTTGGTGCTATGCTGTGCTAATCCATTTGTTAGCATAGAATAGAAGTTGCTTGAGTTATAGTTTAACACTATTCTGAACTAGCTCTCTGAGGCTGTACGAAAGGGTTTCACCTAAATTAACAAAATTACTAGATGGCTTCACTGTAAGTCGAGATCTGTCTAAAATGGTAACAAGAAAGGCTCATTAAGTTATTATAATATCTTTAAAGATATTACTCTTAATCCTCTTCTATACCCCTACCTATTCTACTAAATAGGATGACAAATCTTTGTTTTATCTATACAGAGGTGTAGCTCTTATTATTACTTATAGGTTTTATACGTACTAGCCGCTTGGTATATTGGCTGGAGTAAGTTGACTTGCCTTCTATACCATGCTCGTTAGACGACATGGCAGGTTCTGTATATCGTTCTCTTACCAAGGAAAACACCTAAAATAGACTATGCCAAACGTGGATCGGGTGGCCTAGAAGCAGATTGAAGCCTGGAGAGAGACTATTAATAGCATGATGCAAGAGCTTCAGGCTACAATACAAAAGTTCACTTCAGAAAAAGGGGATTTTTATCTGATCCGATGGAGTCAAGGGCATGCCTTCCTCTTTCGTCAGTTCCTAGTTCTGTCGCGATACCTGGAGGCATGTATAACCTAGGAACTTTCACGGGAGAGATTCGAGCGGGTTTACCAGCTTCACAACAGAACCCGCCGTCCGTCAGCCATGATCCTGGGGTTGTATTACTTTTCTCCGTCTTGGTTTCTGCAGGAGAAACTGTGTTTCCATGCTCGACACAATTCAGTGATATGGAGATGCTTGGGTAAGAGTTTTGATGATTAGATCGATTTGCTAAATAGCGTGGGTCATTATGACTTGTGTCTCGGGAATGACTGCGTCGTTCATATACACAGGAAGCTATGCAGATCACAGTCCTACCCATATGTCGTCAAACCGGACAGAAGCCAAGAGATCACGGCAGAATGGCTGCCACAGTTGGGCCAGGCGAGACGCTGGGGGCCATTGTGACGAATATCAAGTCGTCGGCACCACTGCCCGATAAGGACCCTGTTGTGAGTGCCTGCCAGCAAAAAAGCTGGGAGCACGGACTACATTTGCTAACAGTACCTTTGTTGGTGTGCGCGCAGCAGAGGACTTAGAGAATTCCAACCTAGATCTCCTCCACAGTCTAGGAACGGAGCCGTATTCACCTGCTTGTGTTTTGATTTATTGCTGTCTAACACAGTAGTCAGCACGGAGAACCCACCACTCTTCGATATCGCTCGATGGCAGGTTCACAAAACTGAAAACGACTGCGACCTCATCATACGGACTAATAACGGACAAGCCTTCTATTGCGCAATATCTCCGTCAAATTTCCAGCGATCGCCCGAGCTCACGGACCAGTACTTCAAGTGCCTACACCTACTACGGTCCGGAGAAGAAGAGCTGGACGATTTTTATATAGAGGATGCGTACGAATGGCTGTTGAAGCCCTTTGAGCCTCTCGTCGCCCAGTTAGCGCCATCGTCTTCAGCGGTTTCTGATGGCCGGCCGGCTCTCTCCCAGTATCTGTTCCCTCGGTATTTTGTTTGCAGGCTCGATGCTGCTGACGGAGTTCCACGACCGTATGAGGCGGAGACTCGGGAACACGGTTGGTCCGACCCGGGCCTAATTGTAAGGGACGACGTCCTTGCAGACGTCGACCAGTGGACTAAGTCTTGCCATCCATCAGATGTTGAGATAATATATAATCGCCCTGAAGACGTGTTAATCAAGCAACCAAACAGGGTCCGTGTTGATAATGCGGTTGAGTGTCATTTCAAACCTTGTAGGCTCTCGCTTGGTCCGGCACATGCGAAGAAGGAGCTTATAACGTTAAAAGCAATCACCATGGCGCAAATATCTCCTCCTCCTGAAGCATGGATCTGTCGCCTACACGGAGTTGTTCGAGACGGGATCAGGTTGATGGGCATGCTCTTTGTTTGGATCGACACAAAGGGAGTGCTGTCAAAAGCAAGAGCGGACTAGAGCTCACCCGGTCTGAGGAAGCGTTGGAAGACACAGATCAGCACATCTCTGGAGAAGCTACACCAGAAGGGCATCATCTGGGACGATGTTAAAGATGAGAATGTCCTCATCGACAGGGACGACAATGCCTGGATTATTGACTTTGGTGGCAGTTATACCTGTGGATGGGTGGATAAGGAGAAAGCTGGGACGCTGGCAGGCGACGCACAGGGCCTAGCAAAGATACTCGATATTCTTCATTAACAGACACAGCATTTTAGCGAAAAAACATATGAGATTCGCCAGTTCCTAAGCCACGAGATTGTTTGCGTTATATTGACTTGGCTACTTTCCCCAAGTCAGACGCGTCCGGTCGCTCTGCGCCGCTGACAACGTCGTTTGCGAGAGGGGATGTCTTGAAAACGTTGTCTGAAGCTCGTTGCGAATTGTCCCAACCCCACCACCTTTCAACATATAAGACCCGTCTTTTGAGACCTCAGCTCACCTGAGAGAGTTGGGGTTTAGACAGTCCGGGGGCAGAAACATATTGCCACGAGTTAGAAATAGAACACACAGCAGGGCCCGGGCACTTCTAGGAAGCTTGCTTAGCAGTTTTAATGAACTTTCTGGCCATGTCACAGTTCTCTGGTCATCGCTACGCTTGGAATATCCACTAGGACGAGCATTGCCTGAAAGGATTGGAAAATTCTCTAAATGTGTTGTTAACGTAGCTTTGCCAGAGAAATACCTGAAATCTCTCCGGCAGCCTTGAGTGGAAAGAGGCAACCACTCTTGCATCGCTTAGAGCTGTAGTAGCAAGACTGAATGGCTAATTGCATTAGGTGATGCGTAAAATGAACAAAGTTTAGAGCCAAATTATCAGGAAATTCACTACTGATTATCTAGTATTTTCCTAGTAAGCACTAGAGAAAACAGCATAATGTTACTGTCTTGTTGCGTAACAATTACAGTGTGTTAGTTTCTTTCTGCCCCAGGTGCTTCGGGGGGCGGGTTTTCTGCGTCCCTCCTTGGGCGTCGCCTCTAGTGTAGTTGAACATCGTCTCCCTGACAATCATCCACCAGTGCCCCCCCAAGGGCAGAGAATGAGCGGTGAGCGGGGGCGGAGGGGGGGAGGGGGGGGACGGACGAGACCTCATTCTCGTCTGCCCAATAGGAGAAAATGGAAGCCAAACCTGGCGTTCCTGATCGAAACCCTCTAGCCCCAATTCCGCAAGGTGCTTCCTCGTCGCGGTGCTTATCTCTAGCTCTATATCGTATAATCGGTCGCGTACATACCGACCTTCTCGGACAGCCTTGCATTTGCATCCCGCATACAGCATGCATGCACATCATGGCGGAAAGGCGTCAAAGCCTATCTGTTTCTCCCAGTCTACGGATAACACGTCCCTCGATTGCTAGTCGCCGCCGCCACACGAGCGAGTCAACGCCAGGCCGGACGCGGATAGAGCGTGTGCCAGATAGGGGCCACCGGCCCTTCGGTCCCTTTTGCATCATTCCAGAGTGTAGCTACTCGACTGGTGTGCGGATTCCCACCGCGCGATCCGCCTCGCGGGGGTGGTTCTGGTTCCTGAACGGCCGACGGGAGGAACGAAGGTCAGAAACTAGCCAAGTGCTGCCATGGGCAAATCGGCCCCAGCACGCGCGAGAGGCGTGGCAGCGTAAGCACGGCCGCTGACGCCCGACGCTGACGCCGCCTTGAGCGCCGAGAGGTGCTAAATATACAGGGCTGGGTAAAGAAGGAAGAAGGAAAGGGGGGGGGGAAGGAAAGAGGACAACAGACTGGAAGCTCATGGCCCATCTCGAAGAATTGTTTGGGGTGCCAGGCCAATGGTTCCCTTTGGGTCTTCCCTCGCAGACTCGCTCACCCTGTGCTCGTCTAGGACGAGAGGGCAAAGCAAATATGTACGAACGAACCCCCCACGGCCACGGATTGGTCCGAACTTCGGCGGCATTTCCTCTCCTTCGGGTTCTTGAGTCAGATCGTGTCACTGTCTTTTTCTTTTTCTTTTTTTGCATGGGCGTGGGTATCAAAATGTCACGTCTGTATCGGAGACAGTCGTCACTGACAACGCACGTCCTCTGCAGCCTTTGCGTCGTTTCGCCCGTCTCTGAATGATTTTACATGGCAAATACTAACTCCGAGTTCTTGGAACCGGCGGACAGCAGCAGATCGAGACGCCGTCCGATGTGTAGCCTGCATAAGCTTCTTGGTGAGATTTGGGTGATGAGCGTGGGTATGGAGCCGGTGACGAAGCAAACCCTGTATCTGCAATGAAGAAAGGTGATGGGGCGATGGAAGGTGCCTGCCGTTCGCTCCGGGAGGCAGCGGCCACTCTAGCCAGCCAGCGCTTCTTACGATGCACGCTGCGTTGTCGAGCCGGAGACGGTCTGCTGTGTCGATGGCGAGTCGGCGACACGCAAGTGTGGTGGAGGGAGCAGAGTACGGGTAGAGCGCAGAGGGAGGTTCCCAACGATCTGGCCATGCCGCCGATCGCTCCGCCCTCCTGACCAATCACGCCGACGGCATTTCCAGGAATGTCGACGAAGCACGGCGGGCGGCACCCCATCCCCGGAGCAGTGGACCCGTCTTGCCAGCCCCGAACCCCAAGCGGTGAGACAAGAGAGCTCTCTGTGAGCTCGCCTCCATCAAGGATTCTCACCGTGTACTTGGGGGTCCTGGTCGTTCGCCCTGTCCACTATCTGCCAGGCTCCCATCGTTGACAAATATTGCAATTTCCACCAGGTAGGTAGTTTGTTCTTGGCCTACCTAGATGGATCATCGGGAGGGGTTTTAGAGTAACGACATGCCCTCCCCCCTTTTGGAATTTCCTGTTCACGACATAAGGCAAACCGGCCAGTCAAGTCGATGGAGAGAACCTCATTCGGGCATGCCCAGCCGAGACGCAGGCGATCATGGGGTCGTAGGTTGCAAATCCACTCCTCCAGCACCTTAAGAGGGACCGCCTTGAAGACGTACCTTAGTCCCTGCCCCTCAGCGGTAATGCGGCAGGGAGGGAGCAACGCTTGGCCCGGCATGTCATGGTAGTGTAGACAAGGCGTGGCAGGGGGGGTGGGGAAGCGAACCCACCCTCCTGGACTCTTGGGTGACAGACAGGCGAAGAAGATGCCAAGGACGTATTTGTTGCTAGGCCAGACACCAGGACGTAATTGACTCGGAAGTCAAACACCAGAAAGGACGTGGAAACGGGTTAAAAAAAAAGCGAGAATAGATACGGAGAGGGGACGAAAGGGGGAGTTGCCAATGCGCGTGTCGGTCGACAATGGCCAAGCGGGAGACCAGCCGTGCCTTGGCGACTTTGACGGTTCATCCGAGGGGCCCGCCGGGTGCTTAAGATGGCTGGATTGAGGTGGATTGAGGTGTAGGAGTGACGGCTGTCAGTGGTGCGAGTGTGAGAGCTCTCCTGCGTCCTGCGAGTATGAGCCGTAAGCTGCGAGCAGTGAGCTGAGTGGGTGACTGAGGGTTGATGTGTGTGTGAGAGAGAGAGAGAGAGAGTGTGTGTGTGTGTGTATTTGGTGGTGCGCGTTTGTTGGTGGGTGGTGTGGTGTGGTGGAGGGGGAAGCAGCCAACAGAATCCTACTCAGGTACCTACCTGGGTAAGTTTTTACGGTGTAGGGAAGGTGCGGTACGTATTGTCGTGTAATTATCCGTAGGTAGGTACCTACCTGATAGTACCTACCTCCCTACCTATGCATGTACACGAGGTACGTACCAGAAGAAGGAGAGACCCGCACCTTGGCCCAAGCTCCCTCAACGTCTCGAAGCTTTGGTCTCTTCCTTCTTCCTTCTTCCTTCCAGAGTCTGGCAGGGCGGCGGGCGCCCAGTTTCCTGGCCCCCCCCCGGTTGCGGTTCCTGATCATGTTCATGTTCCTGCTCGCCTCGAGTTTCCGCTGAGGCAGTTGCACCCCGGCAGCTCTATGTTGCGTGGTCAACAAGCACCGCTCAGCACAGCACAGCACAGCATAGCATAGCCAGACCAACCCAGCTCAACAAGCATTTTCGATGGATACGGGCTTGGTACCGCATGATTTGCAACGCTGCCGTCGTATCATCCCCGAATATCCTGCGGCAGAGAGGCAATGCCGTACGCCACGAACATGGTATCTACACTTAGTGACTACGTGTACACACTCCCGATTCCATACCAAACAAACAAACAAACAGACAACAATAGCAAAGCCCGGTGGACCACCCACCATACGCGGGTCGAAACAGATGCGCAAGATTGGCGCAGTACGTAGTAGAGATGAGACTTGTTCATGCAGCGGGGCCCACGGTGCCGGCCGGTAACAAGCAGCTGCGCTGACTAGCGAACCACCCGTCTACCAGTTATGCACAGAGTAGAGACGTCAACTGTGTATGTATTTGTTTTCTGTTGAGAACCTCTAACTGTGGTCGCCCCAGCCCGGCCCGTTTCTAATCGCTATCGCCCCGGGGTGGTGTGGAGGAGGATTCCACGCCAGAGAGAGTGAGAGTGAGCGCTTTTAGAACCGTCGGAACGTGTCTGTCTGGAGTTCGCTCTTGGCTGTCTGTCTCTGCTCTCTTTTTGGTCTGCAAATCAAGGAGCGATCAATGTAACGACCGGGCATCTCTCTCTCTCTCTCCCTTGACACGCGGTCTGGAGCACGGATGAATGCTCACAGCACACCGATGCCTGCGACGGCTCCCTCCGCCCATCGTTGTCCAAGCACCTCGCGCGCTATGGCAACGCATGCACACTATTCCTCCATCCCGCCCAGGTGCCCGCCTTGGCAGGGTCACGAAGCTGCTTCACCAGAGTGCCTGATCGCTCGAATTTCCTTTCCGGGCTGGCCTGTGCTCTCGAGGCTGAGACCCTCCATTCGTCTCTCTCTCACTCTCTCATTCATTCTCACTCTCTCATCCATTCTCACTCTCTTGCGGATACTTCCTCACTCTCTCGGTACCATTTGCCCTTCTTCACGTCGCCTCATTTCTGCATTTATCTGCCAAGGCCCTGATCATCCAACCCCACTATGCAAATCAATTCTGCAAACGGCAGCCGTTCCAGCCTACTACCAGGTATGCAGCATGGCAGAAGCCCCTCCAGACAAGAGACACGCAGGCGTTGACGGCAGCGTGTCAGTTAGTGATATTAGCCGGCGCCTCTGGCGAGAAAGTCGGTCCACGAAACCTGATCCCAGCTCGTCCAGATTCAGCGGTCAACAGCCAACCTAATAGATTCCCACCGCTGAACATGCCACTTCTGCACCATCACCCACCCCCCCTCTTCCCCGTCGACAGCTCACGCGCGCCCATTCCTCCCTTTCTCCCGCGTCAACTGTAGTATCCGTATAGGTACCGGTAGTGTAGGTATCTGCACATCGGCCGGTTGTGGTCCCCACTCCTACCTGTAAACCCTCTATTGGGTCGTTTCTGTTATGTCTGACACAAGCTTGCCTCCGAGAGAGGTCCAGTGCTCGCCTCATGTACGAGCAATAGCATACATGGCAATGGCGTTAAGAGTAAGTAAGCCGACCCCAAAACATACCTTTGAATGCCGACACGTACATCGCATGGCCCCACTCAACCAACCGAATATGTAGCCTTGACTCTCGTCCCCTGTGTGCTTCCCCATACTGTACAACAACACCCCCCTTGCTGACCCTGATTGGATCCCTCCTCAACAATACCAGCCGGTACTTTGTACAGGGCCATGTCACTTACTCGCACCAGAGCCTCTTTCTCTCCTCTCTCTCTCTCTCTCTCTCTCTCTCTCTCTCTCTCGACTCTGTCGACTCACTGATTGGGGCATACAGCTCATGTGTGTGTGCTGATCCACACAGGCCCGGTACATAGGAATCCCACGGAGTAATCGACCAAGAAAGTGGCTTTTCGACAGGGACAGCCCACCCCGTTCCACATCCCGGCACCCGGCTCGCCATCCGCCAAAAGCCAAAATCCAAACCGCAGACGGTACCTAGTTAGTCAGTTGGGCCAACAACGTTGCTGTAGCTGTAGCTGTTGCTGTCGCCATTGCTGCTGTTGCTGACATTGCGCCTCCCCATCCGCCGTACCGTCCACTCCGGACCTCCGGGTACATCCACTTCCTTCGTACCTCTCACACGGACGACGGGTGTGACCTGTACCTGATGCCCAATTCCCCGTTCCCTACAATGTCAAGTACCCTTTTTTTTTATACCATTTTTATTTCCCGGGCGCCCTGGTTGCTACCTCGCAGAGAGCATCCATACCTACCGTAAATTCCACCACCGTTCTCGTCCCATCGTCCCCCAAAATGAACCCGGACTTGGGACGCCAGGGCTCCCATCCCATCATCCCCAATCCAAACCTGGCTTACCTGGTTCTAGCCCATCTCTTCCGCTTTCAGTTCCAGGCCCAGGGGTGTGAACGCTTGTCTGTGTGAGAAAGTGAGAGAGAGGAAGGGAGAGAGGGTGGCTGCGGGTGCGTGGTATCTGTAGTATGTCTCTGATCTCCAATCCGTCTCCCGCCTTCCTCGTCCCTCGTCCCTCGTCCCTCGTCTCTACCTCTGTGCGTATATCTGCCGTGCGAACCCCCCCTCCTTTCCCTCCCTCTGCTCCCCTCCCACCGTCCATCATCTCTCTAGCTTCCCAATCGTCCACACTTGCTCATCGTGCCACCATACTCATCGCCGAACAATCTCCCAGCTCCCGTCTCTCCTCTCACCAACTATCAAATCTAACCGACGTCTCCCTATCCCAACCACCAGCGAATCTATACTTCTAGCCTGGTCGGCACTTACACCACTTACACCACCCACCTTCATCGGAGCTCCCCCAACAATAACCACCCAGCCGTCACCATGTCGCGCATCACCGCCCCCGTCGCAAAGCTCACCCGCTCTCTCAACTCGGCCGCCACGGCCAGCCGCTCCAGCGGCCTCCTCGAGTCTCATTACAATGTCAACAAGGGCGCCGTCCTGATGCCCAAGTACGCCGAGCTCCTCAAGAACCGGAGCCCCCGCGAGCACGACGTAAGTTTCATCCCCTCCCTCCCTTCCCCTCTTCACCCCAAACTGTTCCTCGGAGAAAATAAAAAAAAACATCCACGGACTAACACCCGCCGCCAGTCCGCCCGCACCCTCACAACAACCCACCGCCCGACCCCGCAACCGACGCGCGCCTCCCCCTCCCACCGCCAGATGCAGACCTTCGCCGCCTCTTCGGCGTCCTCCGCCGGCGGCCCCATCGCCTCCATGGACTTCACCACCCTGCCCATGTCCTACGAGCCCCTCCCCGCCGCCAACGAGTTCGCCGGCATGCGCATGCCCCTCCTCCCGGACGCCTTCACCACGAAACACCGCTCCCTCTACCAGCAGCCCCCCGCCGACGAGGTCCTCCCCTCCTCCAGGCCCGAGATCTCCATCGTCGCCGCGCACCCGGAGAACGTCACCGCCGCCGCCCTCACCGAGGTCGAGGCCTTCGGCGTCGACGGCGTCGAGCTCAAGTGGGCCCACGAGAGCGAGCTCGCCCCCGAGGCGGCCCAGCCCGGCCTGCGGGACCTGTGGAAGGGCCTCGTTGACGACGTCATGGGCTCGCAGCAGCAAAAGGCCGCTTTCTAGACGGCGACCAAGGTGGGCAAGGGTGGGGCTACATGTATCCTACTCCTAGAGACGCGCTCCTCTTCTGTTGAGAAACAAAACGATACAGAGGGAGAGAGAGAGGAGCCGACGATTATCATGATGTGAAACTACAAAGCAAAGCGGTTGATGCTCTTTTGACGGTTGAACCTGCTCGCCAAAGAAGCGGTTTGCAACGCTGGGGGCTTTCTTTTTTCTATTTTCGGTTTATTTACATGTTTTTTTTAATTGCTACCTGATAAGCGGATACGGACAGGGACACCGAGGGACCGGACGGGAAGGGACGAAACTATTCCTCCCAAAAGGATAAGAGACTACGAGATACTATAACTGGGCATGAGAACCCGTTGTGCATCCCACGGCTCCAATTCATGATCTTGCGCAAATGCGAGGGGGAAAACAAGATACAAAATATAGAAGGAAACGACAAGATCCTGATCAAAACACATTCTGGCCCGGATGTACACTTGGACAACTTTGTGACTTGTGATAACTTTTGATTGCCAAATTTGGTATCGACCTGTGCCTAACACTCCTATATCGCGAGCATGATACCGTGATTCCGTGTGAAAACTAACTGTTTTGCTGACATCTGAAGGCCCTGATTCCTTCCACCCCTCCCTACCACATTACATAGGCACCCCGGCGCAGTACCTTCTGCTTGCTATCCGCTTCGGACGCTTTACGCCTAGTCGCTCAGTAAGGCATTCCCCGTGGCATGCTCCCGAATGCCCAAAACTCCGTCCCCACGCGAGACTCACGCCTACTTCACTGCTGCTTCGCTCATCGCTTCTTCATCGTCGGGCGAGGCTTGCACTCGTCCGCCTGGACGGGGTGCAACATCACCTTGATGGGGTACTGCTGGGTGTTGTGCTGGAAGCCCTTGCTCCAGTCGTAGCTGATACCGTAGGCGAATATGGATCCGTTCTTGTTGAAGGTGGTGGCCGTGATGCTGCCGCCCACGTTCGGATATCCCTTGAGGCGGTGCTTCGCGTCCTTGTCCCAGAAGTGGAAGGTGCCGTCCGAGCCGGCGGTGCTGAAGGTGCCGTGGACGGGGTGGAAGGAGATGTCGTTGACGGCGTAGACGTTCGTGACGTTGTTCGCCGGGGGGTCACGGTGGCACTTGAAGGAGAAGTTGGAACTGTAGAGGGGGCGTGTTAGCCGACCGTCTGTCTGCAGGCCTTACGTTCACGGAGGGACTCGTGGCCGTCGTCCAAAAAACTTACCTAGCGTCCTTGTCCTCGACGTACTGGATCGCGCAACGGCCCTCGATACTGCCAATAGCAAAACCGGCGGCGTCGGTGAAGCAGCTGACGACCCTGGTCTGCCACTTGAGAGGGCTCTGGAGCGTCTTGTAAAACTTTGTCGGGTTTTTGAGGTCCACGACGTTGATGTACCGGTCGGCGGTGCCGATGACGAGCAGGTCGTTGCGCACGTCGATGGTGTAGACGCGCTCCTGGCATGTCAGCGTCGCCGCCGGCGTGGGCGACCGCAAGTCCCAGTACTTGACCGTCTTGTCCCAGGAGCCCGACACGGCCATGGTGCCATTGGCCGATTCGAAGAAGCGGACGCACTTGACCGGCTGTTCGTGCTCGCCAATCTTGATCGTTTGCTGCGAGGCAAGATCGCAGGCCTTGACCGCCTTGTCGGCGCCGCCGGAGAGGACCTTCGTTCCGTCCTTTGGGGGTAGGGTTAGCAAAAAAAATGCAAAACACGCATCCGATGGTGGGCCATGTCATCTTACCTTGGAGAAATCGCAGTTCAACACGGGTCCATCGTGCTCGTAGGCGTGCCGCCCCTCGCTCTGGCCATTTTGGGCAATCTCGTATATTCTAACCTTCTTGTCCCAACTGGACACAGCCAGAAAGTCACTCGTCTGATTCTGGGCCGGGGAGAATGCGAGGTCCGAAATGCTGTCCTCGGGAGGGTTGTTTAGCGCGACATCCTGCTTCAAATCACCGACAGTATTGCTCGAGGAAGAAGAAGACGCGCTGCCGAACAGGCCCGACATGGTGTCGTTCGTGTGTCGATCAATATAGTTGTGGAAGAGCTATCGATTCAGGGCGTTCGTGGAAGCGGATGTGCCTCAATCGGGTTCGGTTTGTTGGGTCGAACGGTTGAAGGAGAATTCAAAGGTCGACGCCAGCTTCATATAGCTGCTGAAATCGAGTCTTGGGAGGAAGCTACTGGTAACCCAGGCAGGAAGGCAGTCGCGATGCGAAAAGTGAACGCGGCCTCCCCATTGGCTGCAAAGCCACAAGGCAGGTGGTGCCTGCGTGCCTGCCTTACTAAAGCTGCAAGCACTAACCAACGTACCTAGCTGGACGTCAAGCCACAACTGGGACCTCAGGCTCACGCTAGGTCCAGCCACAGAGGGCGCCCCACCTGCGGCTCGACTTTTTCTTTATAAAAAAAACCCTTCAAGCTTCACCCAGTCTCCTTCCTTCTTCTTCCTCTTCAACCCCCCTCGCCCGACAAATCGCCATCGAAGCTCACAAACGGAGACGTCTTTTTTTCCCAAAGGAAAAAAGGCGTCTCGGTCCTCTGGACCAACAGCGCTTTGGGAGAAAGTCCCCGGACACACGTTATTCTTCCCCCTTCCGGGGGGGGGGAACAAAAACGCCGCGGAAACGCGCCGCCATAGAAGCACAGCGGCTGACCTCCAAGACCTGCGTCAGGACATAATGGCCTCTCTTTTTCACGCCCCGCCCCGTCGCTACATCGTTGGTGTTCTGCTCCTCTCGAGACCCGAATCTGCCTTGTCCCGGGACCCTTATGGATGAAGATATGAGTCCGCGCCCGGGACCGGGGAGGCTTGGTGCGCTTGTGCGGGGCAGGTGCCTTCGATGGCGAGGTGGCCGCGTGGGAGAAGTCGATTGCCAGGCGAATTCAAGGGTTCGTCGGAGGGTCTTTCGTCGAGATCGACAGGTATGCGATTGCGCGCCCTCCCCTTCGCCGGGGAGGGCGAGTTACTCGATGGGGCTTATTCTTGGTGCGAGGGGGGGATTCAAACCAAAACCGGACATTTCTTGCCTGTCCGCAATGGGGGCTAGACACCTTTACTCTGGACTTCGTGGGAAGTCTCCTTCCGTCTATGATGCCTTGGACTCGCGAGGGTGTCCCGTTTGGACAGATTCCTTTCATGTTCGATGATGATTACCAAATAGAGTCAAGCACTGAGGTGAGAGTCCTTAGGGGCCGCCATTGTGACGACAAAACATGCGTTATGGTATCTGATGAACACTTTTAATATATCATTTTGTATTATCAATATCAATTGTTTTCAGCCAGAGAACGCTCTCCCCCTTTGGTCCCCGTATAAATCTTACAATCAAGTAGTAATAAAACAATAATCCTTGGTATATTGGAATGAAGCCTTCAAGTCGTGAACCATACGCCAGCCAGCCCACCCTTGACCGTTTCTCGAACACCCACCCACCACTCCTCCACCATCCTATAAACTCCATAAATATGCAGGTCATTCATTTCACGACATTATGCCACATGGCGTGTTCCCATCCGTCACATTAAGCCCCCAAGCACAACCTTGCCGATATTGCCCATCTCCGTCTTGATATGCGTTCTGCTGTTGTCCTCAAACTCCTTGACGACGCCCTGCACAATGATTTTGCGCACCTTGGCATCCGCTTTCGCAAACAGCTCTGCGATCGGTGTCGACGTCTCCCTCGGCGTGGGCACCAGGGCCAGGATCTTTGTGTAGACGTCGATGAGCACCTCGCACAGCGTCGCAAAAGTCTCGTAAAAATCGGGCTCGAACGGCAGCGACGGCGTCAGCAGGTGCGTGTACACCTCGCCCGGTAGTAGGTCGTTGTCGCTGGACGCGAACGACATGACGCTCGCGCTCGCGCTCGACGAGCCCCCAATGCCGCCGTAGCTGCCGCCGCTCGCGGGGTCCGAGTCGGCCGGGTACCCAATATCGTTGGCGCCACTCGCACTACGCCGGGACTTGCCGGCCTGACGCCTGAACATGGACGGCAGCCGCGCGCGAGACAGCGAACTCGTGGAGCTGCCGCCTTCGCTGTGGAGCTGCTGGAACGACTCGAACTCTTGGAGGAGGTTGTTCAGGCTGCGGAGGAACTCGATAGGGGTGTTGGCATAGAGATCCACGATGGTGGGGAGGGAAAGGCCGAGCAAGAGGTAGTTCGTGGCGCGGCGAGCGAGTTTCCGTGATTCGTAGGAGGGCATGCGGGCCAGATCGGGCTTGTCGAATAGGATCGTGTTGAACCAGTATACCCGGCCTTCATGGCTGTTGGGTGGCAGTCAGCCGCTGTCCAAGACATGTCACGAAAGGGGCGAGGGGGAAAGGGGCACACATACGCTTTGCGCAGGTAGTCCAAAGTGGATATCCTCTTGTTCGCCATTTCTAGCATCTGCATGTGCAGCACGACCGACTCACTTGACTGCCACATATTGGGGTGCGTCGCAGATGGCGGGGGTTGCAGGCGGTCACTGGGCGCGAGACTCATGGAGCCCGTCTGCGTACGGCCCAGCATCCTGGTGAAGCTGTCGGTGGAGGCGGGGCTCTGGATATTGTCCGTCTCGCGGGTGATCTTTGCGGCGGCGGCGAGCGCGAAGTCGGGGAGAGCGGGCGGGACGTTGCGGTCGGTGACTACGACATTGCCCCCTCCGCCGGAACTGGAAGCGCGGCGCTTGGACTTTGAGGGGGAGCTGAACGAAGTCTTTCGGGCGAAGGAATTCTTGCGATCCTTCAGCAGTACGTTGGGGCCGGAGGGCGGCGGGAAGAAGGGCGAGAGCTGCGGTTGTGGTATTTGAGACTGGGGCTGTAGCTGCTGAGGCTGTTGTTGCTGCTGCTGCTCGCCTGACGATGTGCCGGGGCGGGACTTGGAGGAAGAAGAGAAGAAGGAGGACGAGAAGAAGGGTGTATTGGCGGACACGGGTGTCGCGCCTGGTCGCTGCATGTCTATTTGAGTCCGGCGAGGGGCCAGGAGGCTAGTCCTTGGAAAGACCTTGCCGAGGGGGTGGATGAATATGGAAGTCGGAGGGGGACGGGGGCAGCTCGTCGGGAAAGCGATAGAGGGCGGGGGCCAGCAACCAGTTCAGGAGTGCGGTGACGGAGGGCAGCGGACAAGACGCCAATTCGGTCGACGGGCTTGGTGTTGCGCAGGTCCAGGTGTGGTGGACAAGCAGGGTTGTAGTGTTGGTATGTCGCGCGTGCGTGGGACTATCGAGGAGCGAGTGGCTTTCTGCTGCTGAACTCCCAGGGTTGCGAAAGGCCGGGTTTCCTTTGTGCCGTCGTGGACCTCGCTAGGTAGATTCAATCGTCCGTCGCTGGCGGGTGTGGCTCTCCTTTCCCTCCCCCTTGCCTAGCACTACCTATAGCTCGGATTGCTTCGTCTGCCAGGAGCCCTCTCTGGTTGGCCGACTCGGCGTCCCGAGACCACTTATTTGCCAGGTTTCTGCCGACGGACGCTTTCATGCAGGGTAGAAATGGTTTGAAGGCTCGCAATAGCAGCTCGTGTCGTGTTGTTGAATGCGGGCGATATGGGGGAGGAGCTTAGCTTATGCGTGAAATTAATGCAGTGTCCCTTGCTGCTGGTTTAGAACCGGCTGGCTGCGGGTTGAGTTTAATGAAGAATGGAGACAGGGAGGGAACACGGCGCCGGGCGACGAGGGTTGTTTCTTGTTCGAATCCTGATGAGCACCTGCGACGAAGCGTGATGCAAGGAAGACGGGCAGGGTGAAGCGTCAAGCGTTTTCAAGCGGGAATTATAGTGGTAGTTGTACTGTTTACGTTTGTGTTTGGTTTATTATTGCTTCGACGGTACGAAAAAAATGGACGAGCTCAACTGGGATATGATATCCTAGGGTGTGTGGAATTCCGAGTCGCAAACAGGCACGAATGCTTGGACCTTGGACGTGGGTTTGGCCGGTCAAGTGGGGGGGAGGGGGGGGGGGGGGGGGCGCGTCTGTCCAGCTCGATAATACCAGGTAGAAGAAGAACGAAGAAAGAAGAAGACATCAATACGAAGCAACAAGAGATGGTGGGAAGAATTCGAATACGCTTGGCCGGAATTACGATAACAATCAAACATTTCCCGTACATACATCCCTCTCATTTAGCAGCCGGCAGGCGACAGGAAGAGAGTTTCGGGGCCTCTCCTCCTCGTCGTGCAGCAAGCAGCCAATTGACTCAGTTCGACCGACCATGCCGGCAGTCCGTTGTCCAAGCCCACCCTTGCCGCCTTAACCCCTGCGGTCTAGCAATACCTACCCAACTCCTTTTGGTGACAGAGCGCCGTCGACGGCCGTGTCTGGGCCGATGTCATGGCCGTGTTTCTCCAAAAGAGTCCAGACACGCCTCCATTCCGGACCCCTGAGCGGCGAGCGGCGAGCGGCGAGGGGCAAGGCGAGAGCTACCTACCTACCTAGTTAACTCTCGAGCGAGGCGAGGTCTTGGGATGCCGAGTTTGGTCGCGGGTTCGGCGGAAGAACCCTCCTTCGCCGAGGACAGCTCGAAGGGGAATGTGCTTCGGACGAGAACCCGGTCGAACTAATAGATGCCTCGCTTGAAGCGGCGACCTTCAGCGCCACGGGTTGACAATTATCCCTTGTTTTCGCATCCACATATGGGCAGAGGTCTCATATCACCGTCTCCATGTTTTGTCTGCCCACGGGGGGGGGAGTACAACATAACCCTGCAGACAGACTACTGGCCTGGATGCGTTTCTTCATCAGAATTCCCCCGGAGGCCGTGCTGTGCATCCCCCCCTTCCCGTTCCGGCGCTTCTTGGCAGTCATATACAGTGCTAAAATAGGTCTGATGCCATCGTGAAACCTCCCCCCCCCCGCTTCCTTCACCAAAGCACACCTAAAGTACGCTTCTTCTCTTATAACACAAAATCGACCGTCACCAAGGAAATGCACCGATCTTCCCCACCCTCATCCTGGGGCCGGGAAGATCGTCTGCCCTCAAGAGGCCGTGCACAAACAACATGCGCATATTCCCGCTCCAACAAGCCACTGACGCCAGGCCGTTACGTCTACTGTAGTATTCCGGGTCAGAAGGGGAGGGGGGAAACCTCGAATGACCACGGATGCGGTGCCCAAAGCGCAGAGAGACGGAGAGAGAGAGAGAGAGAGAGCTACGGCCCCTCGCCTCTAGGGCAGACAAGCACGCGCCTTGGTTGATCTTCCTCATTCCACCGCCTGCCCTCCTTTTTTTTTTTCCTTCTCTCCGCAAAAGACGCCGAAACGTTCCAGAAGCTCAGACTCGGTTCCACGTGGAACGGACGCCCGACGAGGCTTCTACCAATGCCACAAGAAGCGCGACTATGCTTGTTGACTACCGACGGTCACGTCGCCACCGTCGTCAACAACAAGTCACCCATCGCGCCACGACCTGGGAAATTACCTAGCTCGAAGCACTGATCCGCACCATCCCTCTGATGAGATGGAGCTTGCGCCGAATGCCAATTAGTTGCTTCCCGCACCAGACGTCCCTTGCATCAAATAGCCATGCCGTCCGCTCTAGGTGAATCCGAGTGGCTGATCCGGATTCCTATCAGCTGGCTGCTTCGGATCAAACTTTAGCGGCGACTCATAAGTCCGAGGCGTGCAGCTGGTTAGCTGTGTCTCATGGTCTCCGTCCTTTCTATTATTTACTATTGCTATTGCATTACCATTACAGATATCGGGCCTCCATGACCCAAAGACTAGGACAAGACGTAAACCCCATCCGCCTTACGCCGCAATATGCGTCGCCGCTGGGAGCAGAGCCGACGTGGCCGTCGCGCAGATACAGCCCAGGCCCGCGATACTCGCAATCGGCGGGGCGTCGCAGGTCGAGTACGGCTCGTACGCCTCAAAGGTCGGGTCCGGCTGCGGCTCGATGATCTCGGCCTTGACGAGGACGGGGATGATCTGGCCCGTCGACAGGCGGAAGGCGCGGTGGTTCAGCGACGCGAGGAGCTTGGTGATCTGGCCCGAGTGGGCCGTGATGCTGAGCCACGTCTTGTCGTCGGTGCGGAAGACGTCGTCGAGGACCGCCTTGGACCGGGCCGCGTGCGCTTCCTCCGTCTCGCTCTCGTTGCGGCGCCAGAGCTCGTCGTGCTCGGTGAAGCCGGCCTCGAACTCGAACGAGGGGAACGTCTCGGCGATGTACGTCTTGTCGGAGCGCCGGTTGCACGTGTGCACCGTGATGCCCTCGCGGAAGCCCTCCTTGACGATGGGCTTCAAGGGCTTGTCGGCGGGCACCCCGATGTCGCCAAAGGTGATGTTGGCGGTGTAGCCGCAGCGGATCAGGGGACTGGTGTAGTACGACTCGAAGTAGGGCATCTTCTGGGTCGCATAGCGGTCCTTGAAGTAGGCGTTGGCCTTGTAAGCCTCGGCCTCGCCGGCCGGCGTCAGGAGCGGGTCGGCCCAGCGCGCGGTGCCGTTGCCGTCTTGCTCGGCCCAATAGCACTGAATTGTCCGTGTCAGCCGGTGGAAGTGAAACGGGTATCTCGTCGCAGTCTTACGTTCCAGGCTGGGGTTCCGTAGAAGGACTCGGCGGCGTTGTGCCAGCCCTCACCGTGGCGGCCCATGAACAGCAACTTGTACTGGACGCTGTCGCTCTTGCCGCAGCCCGAGTTCAGGTACCGAACCCAGTGGTCGAAACGCTCCCATTGGGTCTTGACACCCTCGGGGTCGAAGTGCTTGTCGGTCGGGTACGTCCTGTTGAGCAGACCGAAGTTGACCGTCGCCTAGGTTACAGGGGGTGTGTGTGTTAGCGATCACCGACTCAACTCGCACGCGACAGAGGTGGTGGACCAACATAGTCGAAGCCGGTCGGGTTAGTGCTGGCGTCGTCCTGCAAGAAGTAGCCAGGAACAGAGGTGAACTTGATATTCTTTCCCTCGGCCTGCGGCCAGGCGGCGAGCGCAGTGGGCGCAAAAGCGAGGACGGCGGAAAGCATGAGACCCTTCATCTTGCTGGAAAGCGATCGTCGACAGGAGGCGCGAGAGACGTGAACCTGGGGAGAGCTACACTGCAGCGTAGCATGCGGGAGGGCCCTGGATAAATACCACCAAATCTCGACATCCAGCCCCCATCCCATCGCGACGGGATCCCCGTCAATCTTTACAGGACCATTGACGCGCCATGCCGGGCCAATTTACCTAGATAGACCCTCGGGGAGGCTCAAAGTCGAGATCTCGTCCGAAGAGATATAGTTACCCCCGGGGCTTGGAGAGTTGTGCTGGGTGACGGTGATCCCTGGCTGCGACCAATGGCAGGGCAATCTGGCATGCACGTGGGTGGTTTTCTGATGAGTTCAACGTCCCTGGCAGCGCATGGGACCCAAGCACGTTTTTCTTTGGTCGTTCCTGAGTGCCTGGGTTGTCGATCCCGATGGAGACAGCCAAGAAGCTGAAATAAACTTATATTGGGAAGAAAAGAGATATCGATAGCATTATCGGGTAAGTGTCCGCGCAGTGGACGGGATTCCTCGGTGAAGATGCCGTTAGAAGGGCCTGCTTTCATTCCGGTCTCGGCGCACCGCCGCGCTTCCCGCCTTGCACCTCTGTCTCTATCGTCAGGCCCCCCTCCTCAGTGATGAAAGGCATGGATGGGTAGATGAAGTTAGGAACCCCCCCCCCCCCAAGGAATTAAAGCTCTCTTGGGCAAACCAGCTGACAAAGGGTTTCGCGGCAGGGGCGCGTAGGGCAGCAAGAAGCCAGCTCAGGAACATGTGCCAATGTAGTCCGTCCGATGTCGTTTTCTATCTTATTTTTCTGTTGGGACGAATTGACAGGTGGTGATGAACGGTCAACATGTGAAGGGGGGGCTACTGTAAGCCACTGTGAGGAACCATAGTGGGAGAGAGACCCCGTGCTCGTCCTGGTCCGGCCGCTGGGAGCTTGGGTGGGTCTCGGTTATCGCCGTGGCGCTGGAACCTTGCCAATCACACAGCACCGCTACGGGAGCGGGACATCGCGAGTAGTCACCACCACCACCACCACTTACTGCTCTCCTCATGTGAAATCCGCCCAGTCGGTGAAACGGTCGGGACCTCAACTATCTTTTATTGACGCAACACCAGCAACCAACTTACTTTTAACATACGCAACCCCCGTCTCGTTCGGCCCAAACCCCCGGAATCCTACCCCCCCCCTGCAACCGAGCTCCCCAAATCGCCATTATTTTACCATGGTGAACTCCGACCCTGAGCACCCCCCGGGCGAGCCCGCTCCTGAGATCTTGGAGGAGCGCATCTGGATCGATGGCTGCTTCGACTTTTTCCACCACGGTGAGCTGCCGAGGCCGCGCCGAGCTCGTTTTTGCCTCACGCCAGTGTTGCTAATGTTCACCAAGGCCATGCCGGAGCCATCGTGCAGGCCCGCCAGCTGGGTAGCGAGCTGTACATCGGCGTTCACTCCGACGAGTCCATCCTCGAGAACAAGGGCCCGACAGTCATGAACCTGCAGGAGCGGTATGTTTCTCCCCTTCCGGCGTGTCCCAGAAGCTCTGTCAATGTTACTTACATCATCACCAGCCTGGCCGCCGTCGACGCCTGCCGCTGGGTCACAAAGTCGATCGGCCGGGCCCCCTACGTCACGCAGCTCGAGTGGATCAGCCACTACGGCTGCAAGTACGTCGTGCACGGCGACGACATCACCTCGGACGCCGAAGGCTACGACTGCTACCGCTTCGTCAAGGAGGCCGGCCGCTTCAAGGTCGTCAAGCGCACCCCGAGCATCTCCACCACCGACCTCGTCGGCCGCATGCTCCTGTGCACAAAGACCCACTTCATCAAGTCCCTCGAGCGCCAGCTGGCCGGCGAGGAGGGCGAGGGCACCTCCAAGGCCGAGATCAAGGCCAACGCCGACGCCATGACCGAGCGCATGAAGCTCTACGCCACCGACGAGACGGGCAAGAACCCCGGCGTCGAAGTCTGGTTCTGGTCCGCGTCTGACGAGGCCAAGGCTGAGGCCGCCAACGAGGAGAAAGGCGACTTCCGACGCTTCTTGCCGGGCAAGGGCCCGAAGCTCGGCCAGCGCGTCGTCTACGTCGACGGCGGCTTCGACCTGTTCTCGAGCGGGCACATTGAGTTCCTCCGCCGCGTGGTCGAGGCCGAGGAGGAGCAGGCCCGCAAGGAGGGGTGGTACTCGGAGCAGGCCGTAAACGAGCGCGTCGGCAAGGGCGGCGACTACCCGCCCGCCTACGTTGTGGCCGGCATCCACTCGGATGAGGAGATCAACCACTGGAAGGGCATCAACTACCCCATCATGAACATTTACGAGCGTGGGCTGTGCGTGTTGCAGTGCAGGGTAAGGCATCGATGGCCCCCTCCATCCCGTCCTCTCCACCCTCCAACCCTCCACTCCTATCATCTCCGTCCCTGATAGCATGCCCCACCCTCCCCCCGTGTGTCCGTGCTAACAGAACCGCAGTACGTTGATGCCGTCGTCTTCGGCGCGCCCTTCTCACCAACAAGGGCCTACCTCACGGCGCTGCCATGGGGCACCCCGGATGCCGTGTACCACGGCCCCACGTCCTTTATGCCGCTGACGTACGACCCGTACACGGCGCCCAAGGAGATGGGCATCATGCGCGAGGTGGGCGAGCACGAGTTCGCCAGCGTCAACGCCGGCACCATCGTGCAGCGCATCATGAAGAGCCGCGACATGTACGAGGAGCGGCAGCGCAAGAAGGGCATCAAGGCCGAGGGGGAGACGGCGGCGCGGGACCGCGAGCTGCTCGAGGAGGAGCAGGCGAGGCGGGAGGCTGAAAGGGCGCGCAAGTAACGAGGGGGGGAGGGGCAAGGAAGCGAGACGGGGCGGCTTTTTGTTTCGTTCGGGGGCTGCGGGGGTCGAGTCGTTTTTCCCAACTCGCAGGGCGATATCATGTTTAATATGGATACCTTTTGTGAGTATACCTCACTCGACCACTGGAGGGGCCAGGTGCTGGTTGGCCTTCAACAGGTCCGAGGGGAGCCCAAGCGAAGGAGGAACACCCGCGTCGGACGATGCGGCGGGGAATCAGAATAGCAACGACACATACCATTCTTATCTGCTGGCTTTGGCGTTTCACGGCCGGGGCATGTTGCGCTCGCGTGCGTGTCTCAGTGTAATAAACGCAGCAACTGCATGCTCAGGAATGGCTGGCATCAAGCGCGCACGTACATACGCACGAGTACCCCGCCATTTCATGTCAAGTGACTAGACCAGTGAGCAAGCAGCCGCATCCCTTAGGCCTAGATCAGGCCGGGCCGGGCGGCCGAGAGGAATGCGACCCTCCTCTCACGTGTCCGTAGCGGTGAGCGGTGAGAGTACTGCAGCGGCCACGGGTCATTGCTAGCTGAATGGTGTTGCGAGTCTACGGTTAGAACATGTCGAGCACTCGGTGCAACCCAAGAAGCTCGTGACCTTGGAGGGGGTTCTAGGGAGGAGGAAGAGGGGGGGGGGGGGCCTTGTCCTTCGATGGTATGCTTTCGACACCGCCTGATGTCTTTGAACTTTGCGCAATGTGCAGAGCATTCTCGACGGGGAATCCCCAAGGCGTGGCAATCTGCTGCCGGAGAAGTTAGGGTCAGCTCATGGGCATGGCTTCCCTCGACGGCTTCTATATGAGCTTCCGGATGCAAGCAACTGGGTCGTGGTTTTGCCACTGCCGACTCGCGACGTATCAGCAAGGATAGAGCAGCCATACAGAGCATCCCGAAGGCCGGTTATGAACTGCATCGTTGAGTATTTACGCGGACACCTGAAGCTGCTCTGTGCTGTCATTGCATTGTATGCTCTTTTATCAAACTTCTATTGTTCTCCAGAGAGAGATGGCATTTTGACTCTACGCTGGTCTATGACGAGAATCGCCTATTTGAGGGGCAGTGGATAAGGACCGTGAGGCCGCTGCCAGTACCCAAATGGCCCTGCAATACAACGGCATCTGCATTGCCATTTCACTTCAGCGTAGTTCGTATTGGGCCAAACGTTATATGATCACTTGATGACATCGAAAGTCTGGTGGAGACGGAGTCGATGTATACCAGGCTCGTCACTATCGGCCGCCTCACTGCGTACCCATCACGACATGCTTCAGGTCTGAACCAGGTCAAACTTGGACGTCAGATACAGAAGTATGAAGAAGTTGAAGAGGCGGAAAATGCCCGCTATCGAGCATGGTTTTGATCGAGTATGCTGGCGAGCAAGAGCTGCTGACCAATTTCTGCCAAGTGTACGACGGCTAATGAGTACGTAAGGAATTAGGAGATGTCTCGGAGTATTTCGCCTGAAGTTAAGAATCCCAGATACGAAGATGTTGGCTGGCACGCTGGTAGGGTCCTTGGAAAGTTTGTGGAGCGGTATCGGTGAGACAAGACCAACTATCGATGCAGTTTAGAACAAAGTCGTACCCCCCCCAGATATCCATGTTAATCAAGGCCGTGGCTGTGAATCTTAAGCTGACATGCATCTAGTTCACTTCCTACCTACCTACCTGAGCTCAAGTCAGGCAGACGGAGCAGCAGCGCCTCCAAAGGAAAGTCTTTTTCTTTTCTTTTCTTTTCTTCTCTCCCCCCACCCCCTATCTCGATGACTAGAAGGCTGTGTAGAAAGGGGGGCAGGAGGCACCCACCACACCACACGCCGTGGAAAGGGATCCGTGCCTCCGGCGCAAGAGGCTGCATGGCATGCATGCACGTCGAGTTTTGGAAGGGGGGGGGCTATAACGGTATGCAGAGTTGCGGTGCGACGAGACACCAGCACCTTCCCCCTAGAGGTTACACTCGGCACCTTCTCGAACCAGAAGCCGCGCCAACCCACCGATCCGTTGTTCGAGAACAGCATCTGTTGGGAGTAACGATGGGAAGGAATGGGAAGATGGGTAGATGGGAGGTGCGATCTACCTAAGTACCTACCTGACCATTGGGAATTGAGACGCCGCCAAGGCCAGTCCTGTCGTATTGGTCGTTGTTTCCTTCCTTCCTTGCTTCCTTCCTCCTTCCTCTATCTCCTTCCTTCTAGTGTGTGTGTGTGTGTGTGTGTATGTGTGATCACTCGGTACTCAGATCTCACCTCCCCTCCACGTCATCGCCTAGGCTCGGCTATCATCGGGAGGGGTAGCATTGAAAACTCGAGGGGACAAGGAAAGAGATAGCGATAGGGCTTGCATTTTATTCCGCACTTTGACGCTTGTATGGAAGAGGAAAGGGGGAAGGGAGGGATCTTGCAGCTCTTTGGTGGGGCAAACCTGTCAGGTTCTACACTACCTAGGTAGGTTGTCGCAGCCACACACCTCTCTATCCGTGTATCCCGCTCTTCTTGAAATGTCAGAAAAGCAAACGCCATCGGCCACGTCCACCCTCAGCTGTCAAACGACGCCTTTCGCTCCCACGCCTTTCGATCCCTGTCTACATGTCGATGAAAAGGCAAAAAAGGCGTGCTTGACACGGCGATATCGGACGTCTTCTTCTCTCACCCCTGACGCCAAACCTATCTGAAGTCTTCCTGGTGGCATCGCCTGCTACATCCAGCACCGATTGTCGGTCGAAGTCGAACAAGAGGCATCGTCATCGTCATCGTCGTCGATAGTCAGTCACCTCAGCCCAGCTAGTCTCGGCTGCGCGCAGCAAAGCCGCAATGGGGCGCCATACCGTCGACCGACTGGAGCCGTGCCCGGCCGACGGCTTATGGTGGGACAAACCACGATGCGACGCTGCTACGCTACGGGTCCCGTTCGCCTCTGTGGTGTGCCATGTATCCGTACCTGACGCTCCATTGACTAATCCCCGACGAATGGGCGGCCGCGGCTTGACCTCTTGTTTCGTCACAGGTTTGATTTTTTATTTGTCTTGTCTCCCCCCCCCCCCCCCCCCCCCCCCCCGCCAACCGAGAGCGCTTGCTGGACTTCAGACGTAGCTGCAGCAGCGTACTGAGTAGTGTATGACCATTGCGAGGTGGGATGGCCCCGGCTCTACCGGCTGGTGTGGTTGTGGGATTGACTTCTTCTTTTTTCTTCCTTTCGCCATCATCCTCGGCTCGCTTCTGCCTTATCTCTGGAGAATGAGTGGCGTCTGCTCGGGATGGCTGGTGGGGGCCCAAGAGGAGGGTAGAAAAAAGAAAATTCCTTGCTTCGATCCAGGAAAGAAGCCCGATCCCCCAATGACCAAAGTAGTGTACCCGGAGCAGCTGAGAGATGAGATGTGATGGAAGAGAAAATCACATCCCAAGTCTACTGCCACGCCGCTTCAGAAGTGCTCACGCGGTAACGGATCCCCGGCCGGGATCCACCTTGCAACTAAGTTCTCGGGCTCGGCAATTAGCATCCCGCCATCATGGAAGGTCCTTTTGACTTGGTGCTGCTCAACGGCACACGGGAGTCAATCATCTCCCTAACTTCAAGTGTCAGCTGGACGTACAAGAAAGATGAAGTGCGAATTCTTGCCAAAAGATGCGGCACTAGGGTCACTTGGCCCGATATGGAACCCCCGGGCAAGCGGCGGCATAAGGCTACGAAAAGCCATGTAGCGTACCGGCCAGCTCGACTTGGCTACCTAGATAGGACGTGCATCGTTCTCGTTGGCGTCCGCCTGCTTGCTGGTCTCCCTCTTTGACTTGGTGGGGTTGTTGTGTTCATTCTTTTTTCTACTCACGCTTTTTTGGCCTTCCAAGTCCTTGTGTTTTCCCTCCTGTTCTCCCATCTCTTTCCTTCATTACACGCATCTAGATTGTCGTCCACTCTACCAACCACCAACCAACCCAGCCGCCAGGGAACAAGACCAGACGATGGCTTGCTACATTTCCCCGGTCGTCATGCTCCTGCTCGCTCCATCCACATCCATGCTGCATGCACTGCACAGGCCAAAGTCTCCATGATGTTCCCTGTTATCTGAAAACGTCCCTACCAAAAGACCGGACCCGCCGCCCCTCAGCATTGGCCCTTGAGTCACCTGCTCCATCTGTCACTAGAACCTTGAGCCAGGCCAAGCCCAGCAACCCGTTGTACTTAAGCTCTCGCCTTCACACCTTCAGCCGAGTCTCGTGGCTTTGTTCTCTTCCTCTTTCCCATCTTAAGCCGAACATCGCCCCTCCTTCTTCTATTTTACACATCCATCTGCCTAGGTGGTCCTACGGTTCGTGCTACTCGTCACCTCGCTTAGCCATCCCTCCCGCTCCTCCGTCCGAGATATCCAAGACATATCTCGCTCCCATCGCCGCACTCGCACACCACCACCTCGAACAGACCTAAAAGGCACCCCAATGGCTCCCGGCACCATCTCCCCCGGCCTCCACCATGGCAACCAGGACGTCGACCTGACTTCTTCTGCCATTGAGCACAAGCTCGAGGCCCTCCCCAATGGCAAGGGCACGAACGGTGACGCCAACGGCAAACCCGCGTACCAGGAACTTGACGCCTCCAAGCTCATCTACAACCGTACTAAGAACCCCCGTCAAGTCCCCGATCTGGCCAGCGCCAATGCCGGCTCCGAGACTATCGCCACCGACCACATGGTCGCCGCCACCTGGAAGGCCGGCGCCGGCTGGTCCGCCCCGGAGCTCAAGCCCTACGGCCCCATTTCTCTCATGCCCACCGCCTCCGTCTTGCACTACGCCACCGAGTGCTTCGAGGGTCTCAAGGTCTTCCGCGGCTTCGACGGTGCTCTCCGTCTCTTCCGCCCCGACCGCAACTGCGAGCGCATGCTCATGTCCTCCACCCGTATCGCTCTGCCTGGCTTCCCTCCCGCCGAACTCGAGAAGCTCATCATCGCTCTGATGGCCGTCGACGGCCCCAAGTGGCTCCCCCGCGACCGCCCCGGCTCCTTCCTCTACCTCCGCCCCACCATGATTGGGACTCAGCCCCAGCTCGGCGTCCAGGCCCCTTCCGAGGCCATGCTCTACATCATCTGCACTTTCATGCCCGTCATGGACTCCCCCGTCGGCGGCATGAAGCTCCACACGAGCCCCGAGGACATGGTCCGCGCCTGGGTCGGTGGTTTCGGTTATGCCAAGGTCGGTGCCAACTACGGCCCCTCTCTCCTCGCCACCGCCGAGGCCCGCAGCCGTGGTTTCGGCCAGATCCTCTGGCTGTACGGACAGGAGCAGTACTGCACCGAGGCCGGCGCCAGCAACTTCTTCGTCGTGTGGAAGAACAAGGAGACCGGCAAGACGGAGGTTATCACCGCCCCCCTCGACGACCGGTTGATTCTGGACGGCGTCACCCGACGCAGTGTCTTGCAACTTATCCGCGAGCGTCTCACCGATGATGTCGAGGTTGTTGAGAGGAGATACACCATCAATGAGGTCATTGAGGCCTACGAAGAGGGCCGCATTGTCGAGTCTTTCGCAGCTGGCACTGCTGTAAGTCGTCACGTCCTCTTCTTTCTTTTTTCATTTCTCAATGGCTGACTAACTTGGGAATAGTTCTTCGTTTGCCCCATCTCCATCATCCACCACCGGGGCAAGGATGTCAGCTTGAGCATGGGCAGTGACGGCCAAGGCGGCAAGTACACGCTCCAAATCAAGCAGTGGATGAAGGACATTATGTACGGCGGCGAGCAGCACGAGTGGGGCGTCGTCGTCCAAGAGGAACTCTAGATTTTTCTCTGCTTCCTGCACGAAAAATAAAAAGAGAAAGATCGGAGAGGTGAAAGAAACGAAGAGACGGCGAATGGGAGATATACACACATACGTGCCTCGAACTGAGGCTGGTCGGTCAAACAGACACGAAAACAACAAAAGTCATAGCTGGGGCGTTGGATGGCATTCTGTTTCCCAAAACGGTGGGTTCTTGAACTGGGGGTTTTTTCTATACAAAAAAGACGTGGTGCATTTGGCATGATATACTTGGACATTTTACCTCAGCATCAGCAATTCACATTATTTAATATGCATCGAGGGGAAACCCGGAGAGGTCTTGGATCTCGTGGCAAAGGCCGAAAATAGCACGGCTCAGAGAAGAAGTCTTGAAGCCAACATTTGCAGTAATACTGGTCCCGATGTATGCCGTACATTGTCTCGGGGCGTCTGAAGACTTGTCGTCGGCGACCCTACGACGCAACTTTTCAGCCACCTGATGTTACGTCGCCCCGATATCCAAGTCAAGTCGTAGCTTTTACTCGACTGGTCTATTCGAATAGCCGGCTTCGTATTCCCTCAAGTTCTGGATTGTTTGTCGTCACATGGATACGCCGGTATCCCAACCCATTTTTGCATGTATCTGGATGCTTCACGGACCTAGTCCTTCCGTCAGGTGAACTGCTGCATGGAGCAACCCAGCGGGAGCTGCCGCCCTGCCGCAGTATGGTCGCCGTGCTTCACATCAGCTCCCAGGTCTCCCGTGTCGCCCATCGTCCCCTCGAGCGTCTAGGCGCCTGAAGACGTCCTCCTCACAGCTCACCCTTGCCGTCTGAGGTACTCTGCGATGGCATTCACGGCTGTCCTCGCAACGGGTGCCTGTACTCTTTGATCCGGTGGAAGGGTTGCGGATGGGTTGTCTAGGCGAACAGAAACGGGAGGAGCTTCTTCAATGGCAGATACTAGGTCTCATTACAGCCTGATCAGTCAATGGTGAGGGTTGTGCACTTTGGTGCCGGTGCCGGCGCGTCGATTTCTTAGAGACATATAGGGTCACTATGAGCATGTAAACTCTTACGTAGGTATATCAATGGGGTAAACTTAATCGTTCGCTGTTATGGTTTTGGAGATGTAGTCCATTGACGGCAGCCAGGGATATATCCAAAATGGCCAGGTGGTGTTCTGCATGTTCATTGCTACGACTCAGGGTGGCAGGATCGGGGCCAACGATTATTGACAAGAGGCGAAGAAAGGCTTATTGCTATGAAAGTAGAGATACGAAGGAAATATCCTGTATAGGTAAGTGATGCGAGTAATGAGTGAAACGCCACGCGATATGACACATGACAATCCACCTAATGGGTGCTGTATGAAGCTATCGTGACATTTTGAAGACTGCACTATCCTGCACCTCGCGGCCCCCACCCCCCGGGTCTGAGAGAGAGGTTGTTACACAAGGATTCCGTTAAAAGCGGAGTGCGTGATACACCATTATCCGGTGAATTTTCTTTCAGCAAAAAGAAATAACAAAAATTCTATTAGTCTATACGTGCCAGCACGGTAACAACGAATTAATGCATTTAGCTCCGCACCAAAAGCTCCATCTGAGTACGCAAATTGACCGCACCTCATGTATTACAGGGCCACCAGCCATCTACCCCCTTGGTGACAAAACCATGACTAGTTGACGGGTTGTTATAATTAATTATAAAAGAAAAATAGTGAAGACGAGTTTTTACAGCGGATATCTGACGGCTGCGGCATTAAATAACAACGGATAACAGATTTGAGAAGAACCTCAATGAGGCTTTAGAACGCACAATCGACTGCCTAGCTTTTGAGCTCTTCTAGACACCGTGATTTGAATTCGCGCTTTGCTGCCATACCATCAATATGTTCTATGTAAAGGGTCTGCACCCCGGGTCAAGGGCAGCTGGCATTTCGAAATCATATCGAGGCAGAACTCGAACCAGAATCTTACACGCCTATATCGCTTTGAATCAAACTATTGCCACGCATATGCAGTTCGTGGTGATCAGGTTGGCGTTCGCACTCAAGCTCAATACCCTGCCAAGCTTCGTGCGGTGCCGTTGAAACCCGCTTTGCCCTGCAAGACGTGAAGACGTGCCTGCGTCGACTTGGATTTCTTGTTGGGAGACCAACAGATTGTCAATGCAACGAAGTTTCTATCAAGCCACCGACGGGCCCATTGTCCAATTGGAGCGCCGACTTGGCGTCTTAGGCGGGTAGCCGCATGTAGGTAGGACAATGGCAGAGCCGGCCTTGGTTACTAGTCATTATGAGTCATCCTGAATCATCTGGATTTACCCCGCGTAAAGTGTTGCGAAGTTGTATAAGAGTGAATACGGTAGCTAGAAGCTATATAGGCTATAAGTAGTAAAATCACTTGACATAGTACCATTGTTCAATCACGCCATTCCTTCTCATAAGGCGCAATACCAATCCTATCTTACGAGAACAGCCAATCATCATGCCGACTACACCAACCCCGTCCAGCCCTATCGTCTTTTACGACATCGCCCAACGGCCACCCGTGGAGAAAACGTGCTGCGCGCCAAACCCCTGGAAGACCAGGCTGGCTCTCAACTTCAAGGGTCTCCCATACTCCACCTCGTGGGTCCCCTTGCCCGACATATCCAAAGTCCGCCGTAGCCTCAAGGTCTCGCCCTGCCGTAAATTCGCCGATGGCTCCGACTTCTTCACGCTGCCCATCATCGAGGACCCCGCCACCGGCTCGCTGGTCGGCGACTCGTTCGACATCGCGGTCTACCTGAACGAGACGTACCCGGACTCGGGCGCGGGCGACCTGTTCCCCCCGCAGGCGCTCGACTACACCTACGAGCACGACGGCATCCTCGTGCCGTTGTCCTCGTGCCGCGACAGTGCGTTCCCCGAGTACGCCCGGTTCAACATGAACGTCGACGCGGCCTTCTCGATGCACGTGCAGCTCACGGTCGACGGGTTCCCGTTCGACCCCGCCACCGCCGAGACCACCAAGGCCGAGTTCGTCCGGCGCGCGGGCGTCTCGAGCTTCGAGGACTTCGCCTTGGTTGGCGAGCGGCGGGAGCAGATGAAGGACTCGCTCCGGGACACGCTGGGCGGCCTGGCGAAGCTGTTCCTGAGAGACCCTGGCGGGCCGTTCCTCCTTGGGACCAGAGCAAGCTACGCCGACTTGATCGTCGGCGCGTGGCTGCGGATGATGCGCGCGACTCTGCCGGAGAGCGAATGGGAGGAGGTCCGGACTTGGCATACGGGTCTTTTTGGGCAGCTGCACGACGCGTTAGAGGCGTATGCGAAGGTGAAATAGGGCTGGTGAGCCGACATATCTTAGGTGGGAGGCGGGCGGGGGGGGCATGTAAGAATCCTGGTAGATGGAAGGGTCTTGAGGGGCCGAAAGACAGCGTTGTGGCGTTTTTCTTTTGCTACTTTTGGTGCTCTAAAAAAAAGGAACATTGAGCCTGGCTTTTCATTAGGATACACGGAGTAACGATAATAACGAAGCAAACCGAACGAGCGGAAGAGCCAAACAGTGGTAGGCAATGTACTGGATGATCCGGCTTCGTGTTAGCAAAGGCTACTGGTAGCTTGTTGTCAGGTAATACCATGTGTCATCAAGCAAATATCTTGTCCTCACGCGGTCTATGCAATCAATTTTGATCTAGGACTTCATCCGCTGGCAAACTATGCTATCCTGGGCTCTTTCTAAGCTCAGAGCTAACATCATGCGTGCTATTCCTCCCCTTTTGAGAGGTAACTTCGAACGTCTTACCGAATGAGGAATATTGGTATACACAGTGGGTAGCGGAAATGATATCTGGCGCCAAATATACGTACAGAATATAGCATAACGCAGAGGCAAAGAGACCATATCATGTAGATAGTACTTTACGGACAGGGACATGTCAAGGGCCACGCTGTGGCTAAATGGGACTCTTGGCATTGTGCTGGCGTACAGTCCAGTGCCGCCGTTTTTGACAATAGTCAGGCTGTTGTTCTGTTTCGTGTTTAGTCAAGAATTTGGCTATTGCGTGGTTTGAATGCCGGGTATGTGCCGGTTGACTTACGTTTTCCCGGCTAGCGACAACCTACGGACAATTTTGACCAGAAAGTCTAGGCGGAACAGAGCTCTTGGTGCTTCTTGGCTGGTGCAGCCACGAGAGATATCTACAATACCCAGCCGCATCTTGGTGAAAAAAACACTGTGCACGCGGGTATAGGTATATGACTTTGGGTTCTTGGTTTCCTCAAGTCCGTGAAGGTAATGGATATCCGGACGGCTGCTGAAACGCCTCAAACGACGTGAGTGAATCATGCCTACCATATAAGACGTATTGTAACAAATCAGAGATATCGCTTTCGTTTCAAGGCACCGTGAACTCTGTATCCAACCCTATAGAAGGCACCCGGGTATCACTCCTAAACCTCGAAATTGGTATACACTCTCGCCTCCCATCCGCCGAGCACGGGAGCAACCCCCTTGACCAGCTCCCCGCCCTCTCTGGTGCCGACCAGCAACCTCACCTCGCTCGCCTCGCAGCCAAGCAACGCCGGCACGTCGCCCGCGCTCTCCTCGCCCTTGGAGAAGTTCATCACGACAAGCGCCCTCCTCGTCGTCCTCCTCCTACTCTGCACGGCCCCTGTCCCGCTCACCAGCGCCGGACTCTCTTTGAGGATGACCCACGTCCGCTCGTTCTCCGGGTCCATCAGCCGGTGCGCGCCGTGGATGAAGACGTCGCGGTACCGCTTCCGCAGCCGCAGCAGCTTCTTGTAAAACTCGAGGACCGAGTCCGGGTCGCCGCGTTGCTTGGCGGCGTTGATGGCCTCGTAGTCGTCGTGCACCCGCATCCACGGCGTCGCGCCCTCCCCGGCGAAGCCGGCGTTCGGGCCGGCGTCCCACTGGAACGGGATCCTCGGGTGGTCCCTCGCGAGGATCCGCAGCCCGCGCATCGTCTTCTCGACCCGCCTGCGGTCGCCGGACGCGACGGCCTCGGAGTAAAAGTTGCCGCTCTCGATGTCCTTGTACTCCTCGATGCCCCAGCCGGCCGGCATATTCGTCATGCCGATCTCCTGCCCCTGGTACAGGAAGAGCGTGCCGGACATGGTCGCCTGCCACAGCGCGATGGTCCTGGCCGAGGCCCGCCACAGCGCGGGCGTGGAGTCGTCGCCGAACCGCGACACGGCGCGGCCGTTGTCGTGGTTCTCGCAGAAGGCCGTCGCCCACGCGTCGGTGCCCTCGAAGAAGGACTGCCACGTCGCGGTGTACCGCTTGAGCGTCGACAGGGGGAAGGGCTGGTAGATGTACTTGCCGCCGAAGCCGTTGCCGTTGCCGAGGCGGATGACGGAGAACTCGAACACCATGTCGAGCTCCCCGGCGGCGGCCGAGACGTAGGGGATAACCTGCGACGGGTGCGGTGTCAGGGACAGCTCGCCGACGGAGACGGCGTTGTAGGGCGCGAGGGCCTTGCGGTTCATCTCCCGGATGAACTCGTGGATGCGCGGACCGTTGCACCACATCTCGGGTGCGGGCTGGTGCGGTGATGCGGGGTCGGTGACGGGCGCGTCGACGAAGTCGGTCCGTTTGGAATACTTGTTGACGGTGTCGATGCGGAACCCGTCAACGCCGCGGTCCAGCCAGAACCGCATTGCGTCCTCGTAGATGGCCTCGCGACAGGCGTCGTTATCCCAGTTCAGGTCGGGCTGGTCGGGTGCGTACAGGTGCAGGTAGTATTCCTGCGAGTGCTCGTCCCACGTCCACGTCGGCCCCGCAAAGTAGCCGCGCCAGTTGGTCGGCGGGTGACGCACGCCGTTGTCGTCGTAGCGTGCGGGCTTCCAGATGTACCAGTTGCGTTTGGGGTCGTCCCTGGACGAGCGGGACTGCTTGAACCAGTCGTGCTCAACAGAGGTGTGGTTGACGACGAGGTCGAGGATCACCTTCATGCCGCGGCGGTGGCACTCCTCCAGCAAGGTGTCGACGTCGTCGACGGTACCATAGGGGGCGTATATTTTCTGGTAGTCGGAGACGTCGTAGCCCATGTCGGCCTGGGGGCTATCGAAGATGGGGGAGACCCAGACGACGTCGACGCCGAGCTCGTGGAGGTAGTCGACCTTGCTGATGAGACCGGGCAGGTCGCCCCAACCGTCACCGTCCGAGTCCTTGAAACTGGCAGGGTAAACTTGATAAAAGGTTGCGTCCTTCCACCAGGGCTGCTTGCCCACCCAGCGGTTCTCATTGTCCCAGACGGGGGGTCCCATGGTGACGGAGGTGTGCTGCCGGGAGATCTAAAGTTCCTCTTCCCCTCTCACTCTCGCTCGCTGTTTTGGTAGTTGTAATGGTGGTGGCTTGGTCAAATGGGGCGGGGGATGGGAGAGCCGTCAACATGGACGGAGCACGGGGTGGCACAGGAAAATCAAGAAAGGAAAGGCTAAGTCGAGCATCCGGAGTCAAGGGTCAGAGTCCAAACGCGCCGGGACCGATTCACATTTTGATTGTGCGGCGGATGGGCTGCTCGGGAATCTGGGAAGGGTCGTGATTAGCGGCTGGTGCAGAATTCGGCGTGACAACATGACTTGCAGACGGAGGGGAACTCGTCACACACTCACACTCCCGGCCCTTTTCCCGGGGTGATTCTATCAAAATGCAACCAATGTCGCCCGCTCCACGGCAACAATCTTTACGCTTATCTGAATTCACGCATCATCCAACTCCACCTTCGTATGGAGTTATGCATCGTTCCGTCATGTCCCCCGTCGTCGTATCGAGGTGGAGAGTCCGATGAGATAGAGAACAGAAAGAAACCCCCCGCATTTTGCTCTCTAATTGCTGAGTAGTTTGTCGGGTTGTGTGGGTGGTTTTCCCCTCCCGCCCCCTTCCCCTCCCTCGGACTCTCCACGCCGTCTTGCCTTCATGCGGAAGAAGTGGTGGGCTTCGCAGGTGAAGAAGCGGAGATGTGCGGTGCCGTCTTCTTGGCTCTCGGCTGCTTTCTTCCTTCTTGACTTTTGCTTTCCTCTTTCTGCAGTGCAATGTTGCTATAATATGGAGCCAAGACCAAAATAGACTCCACAGCAATAAACACCTTTGATAGCGGAGATCAGGCCGTCATGCAAGTCATTGAGTTAAGAATGGACAAAAGGCGGAGGCTCCGCCTCCCCTGCTGGATCGAAGAAGATCAGAAGACAAATCGACTCGGGACACGGAGCTGCTCCGCTAGACTCCGCACCTCCCGCCGACATCCATGCTTCCCGGAGGACCCGCCCACTTCACGCCCGCCGACCAACCAGACTCGGCCCACATCGGCGATAGACAGAAGAACAAGAAAAGAAAAAGAGAATAAGTGGCGATGGGTTCGGGGTCACGAGTGTGGGGGACCAATTGAAATCGGTAGGGGCCTGTGGGAACTGGTTGGTGTAGTGTAGTGGTCTTGGATCCGGAGAAAAGCTGAACGGATAGCTGCACCCGTCGTCTCCCTGGCTATGATGGGAATAGCGTCATGCTTGTCACCCGTCATTTGCGGAATCTCCTTTTGGCACCTCGTGCGAGATCCAATCGTGCTATACACTAAGCTAATAAGTAAGCTTACCCCCGCCAGAAACCCTCCTCCGCTTCTCCACAGAAATCTTCCCCGTGGGAGTTAAGGAAAGCCACTTGATTCGACAGCAGGCACCTGCAACTTTTGCTTCGTCAGGCCATTTGAAGGGGGTTAGATAATGGATGCTGGGCTCCAAAAGCTCGCCACGTGCTTCTCTTGGTGGTTACACACGCAACTGTCTACTACCTGACTGGGAGCCCAACACGATGCTTACGCTGGCTGCCGTCTTATCTCCTGCTGGGTATGCTACACATAGAAACTCACGCCAATCCCATCCTGTCCCATTCTATCCCGGCCTGGCTTGACCTTGTTGTGTTCCCGTCAGAGGAGCTTGCGGACAGCATGCACGTTTCAAGCCTTGGCGCTTCTCCTGTTGCTCTTAGCACTGCAGTCTAGGTATTTCTATTATTATTTTATCATTTTATTATTACCAGTTTCTTTCTCTCCCTCGCTCATTGCTACTATATCTACGACCCCGTTGCCCCCCCCCCCCCCCCCCCCCGAACTGCCAAGTCTCACCCGTTACCCGGAGGAGACCATCGACGGGGGTATATAACGACGCGAATGCCCTCCTCTTCCCCACGGCTTCTTGCTCGTCCCAGGCGAAAGGATCCTGCACATTCCCTGGGCCCTGTCTCTTTTACCCTCCCCCGCCCTCACATAAGAACATAGCACCACCGCGGTCTCAGTCAGACTACCCATGTACGACACGAAGACCCCCGTGTCCACCCGCGGGGACAAGGAGACGGGCATCCACCACCACCACCACCACGCGGACGACACCACCGTAGAAGGCGCCGCGGCGGTGGCGGTGGTGGAGGGCCGCCGCCGACGTCCCGAGGACCTCGCCGCCGATGCCGCCCGGGCCGAGCACCAGATGACGCTTCTCGAGGCCGTCCGGACCTACCCCAAGGCCATCGGCTGGTCCGTCCTGCTCTCCTCGACCCTCGTCATGGAAGGCTACGACCTCGCCCTACTGGGCAACCTGTACTCCTCGGCCGTCTTCAACGACAAGTACGGCGCCTGGAGCGAGGCGCAGGGCCGCCGCGTCGTCTCGGCCGCGTGGCAGTCCGGCCTGTCCAACGGCGCGCGCGCGGGGGAGGTCCTCGGGCTCGTCCTCGCCGGCTGGGCCGCCGACCGCTACGGCTACCGGCTCACGACCATGGGCTTCCTCGTGCTGATGATCGCCTTCATCTTCGTGCTGTTCTTCGTCCCCAACGTCCAGATCCTGGTGCTCGGGGAGGTCCTGTGCGGTGAGTCCGCCCCGTCTTGGGTTTCTGAGCTCGTAATGGCGATGAAGCCCCCTCCCTCCTTGTTTAGCTGACGGATGTTGGCTGCAGGAATCCCGTGGGGTGCTTTCCAAAGCGTCACGCCGGCCTACGCCTCCGAGGTCGCCCCGGTCGTCCTCAGGCCCTACCTGACCACCTTTATCAACATGTGCTGGGTACGTTTTTTTCTCACAAAACCATGACGGAGAACCCGGGAGGGTCTCACGTAGATGTATCGACGAGTCTGACAAAGAAGCCCAGGTTATTGGTCAATTCTTCTCGGCCGCAGTCAACAAGGGCTCGTACCACCACAAAGACGAGTGGGCCTACAGGATCCCTTTTGGAGTGCAATGGGTCTGGCCCGTCCCCATCCTCATCGGCCTCTTCTTCGCCCCCGAGTAAGACCCTCACCCCCCACCCCTGAATCCTTGACCTCGTGAACCTCCGCCCAAACGGTCTCGGATTCGAACCCCCCTCCCCCAGGTGTGCTAAACCACGACAGGTCCCCCTGGTGGTACGTCCGGCATAACGACAAGGCCGCTGCCAAGCGCGCCCTCCTCCGCCTCACGTCGCGCAACCAGCCCAAATTCAACCCGGACGAGACCATCGCCATGATCGAGCACACAGACGAGATGGAGAGGCGCGCCAGGGAGGGCGTCACGTACCGAGACTGCTTCCGCGGCGTCAACCTGCGCCGCACCGAGATCGTCGTCGGAGTCTGGATCGTCCAGACGCTCGGCGGCCAGAACCTCATGGGCTACTTCGCCTACTTCCTCACCCAGGCCGGCATGGACCCCGGCAACTCCTTCAGCCTGTCCATGGGGCAGTACGCCCTCGGCATGGCCGGCACCGCCGGCTCCTGGTTCCTCATGCACCGCGTCGGCCGCCGCACCATCCACTTCTCCGGCCTGTGCGCCCAGTGCGCCCTGCTGCTCGTCGTCGGCGGCCTCTCCTTCTCCGGCGCCAACGCCTCCGTCTGGGCCATCGGCGCCGTGCTCGTCCTCTTCACCTTCGTCTACGACTTCACCGTCGGGCCCGTCACCTACTCCCTCGTCTCGGAACTGTCGTCGACCCGCCTTAAGAACAAGACCATCGTCCTCGCCCGCGCCGCCTACAACGCCAGCAACATCTTTGTCAACGTCATGACCAACTACCAGCTCTCCTCGACCGCCTGGGACTGGGGCGCCCGCACCGCGCTGTTCTGGGCCGGCACCTGCCTGCTGTCGTCCGTCTGGGCCTACTTCCGCGTGCCCGAGCCCAAGGGACGTACGTACGCCGAGCTGGACCTGCTCTTCGAGCACGGCGTCTCGGCCAGGAAGTTCGCCGGGACCAAGGTTGACCCGTACTCGCCGGAGCTCGGCGGCGAAGAGAAGTTGACCGAGGAGCACTGACAGTGTTTTGTATTTATGCGCCCTCAGGAAAAGGGGGGAAGGGGGCTTATGTGACCAGTCGGATACCGGTGAAATAAAAAACAAAGGAAAAAGGAAAAGGAACATTGGAAGTCATTATCCCACTAGATATGGTACCAGCGTAAAATCGCATCATTTATGCTTATCGAACAACCACGGCCTCGGTTCCAAGATCTTTTTGGAGTTCGCTGTTGCTTTCTTCTAGTTCTCCCATCTTTTGATTTGTATTGCCTCCCGTGCTGATGATCAGCGTTCATGTAGGGTGGCGTGGCGGCCCCTCGCCGACGATGGCCATGCTCGGGACGGCCTGCTGTATGTGCTTGTTCAGGAGGTCGTCGTAAATAGAGTTGCCGCCCGGCAGCCGCGTGATGAGGCGCCGCATGTAGTCGAGGTCCTCGCCCGGGCCGGCGGCGCCGACGCTACCGTGCGGGCTCGACGGCGTGATGGGCACGCGGGCGAGGACGTCGACGGCGGCCGAGGCGATGTCGAAGAGCTTCTCGGTGAGCCCGACGCCGTGGACCCTGATGCTGTCGACGGGCAGGTCCCGCGTCGACAGGACGAGGTCTTTGGCGACCTCGAGCGGGTAGTGGTAAGTCATGCTCGCGTGGGCCGACTCCTCGGCCAGGTAGCCGAAGCGCAGGCGGAGCTGCCACAGGATGATACGCAGCCACAGCTGCGTCACGCGCAGGTTTGCCTTCTGCGTGTCCTTGAGGTCCGAGGTCGACCGCAGCGCCGCGTTGACGGCCGTCTCGACGTGCGTCAGCGCCGCGTTGGACGGCGGCGTCGCCACCTTTTCCTGGTTCAGCAGCGCGATGAAGGACGTGTCGAGCGGGCTAAATAGCGCCGCCAGGCTCCAGAAGCCGGACAGCGCCGGGTCGTCGTCGTCGTCGTCGTCCATAGCCGGCGACTCGGCCGTGATCTGCAGCGTCACGGGCCGCCGGTACCGGATTCCGTGCGACCGTTCCGACACGAGGAGCACCCAGAACAGCCGGTCGGCCAGCCTACGCGGTGCGGCCTCGGTGTTGAGCCGCAGCAGCAAGAATAGCGTCGTGGCCTCCCTCAGGAACAGGAAGGCCTGGCTGTGGTGGATGGGAGAGTAGGAGGCTCCCGTGGCGGGCGATGTCGACATCCTTCGCAGCTCGGGTTCGAGCGGCGTGCAAAGTTGCGGTGGACCGCGAGGGCCTCCTCGAACAGCATGCGGCCGTGCATCGCGTTCTTCTCCGGGATCAGCCCTTGCTGCCACAGGCTCTCGGGCTCCTCGACCTGGAGCAGAACCAGGGCGCAGAGGGCGGTCAGGAGGCAGTGGGCCTCGATGCCGGGCTCGGAGGGACCCGCGATGACCTTGAGGTGGGCGACGTAGTCGGGCGTCAAGATGGGGGTGGTGGGGTTCAGACGGTCGAAGAAGCGATCGACGCAGTAGTCCATGACGCGCACGGGGAGGAGGTCAGCGATGCGCTGGACGGCCTCGCGCGGCACGTAGCCGAAGGCCTGGGAGCCGTCCGACACCCAGGCGAGAGGGACGGGCCCGGGCAGGCCGAGGCAATGGTCGCCCAGGCCGGCGTCGACGCAGCGCTTGCACGGGCGGTACTCGTTGCATGCGCGGCGGAGGCTCTTGCACCGGGCGCAAGCGCGCGAGACCTGCGCCCGCTTGGGCCGCGACCCGGAGGAGGAGGACAACGACGGGTTGCCGCTGTGGCCCGGGTCGTGGGCATAGCCGTGGCCGTAGCCGGCGCCGGCGCCGGAGTCCTGTGCGTCCTCGCTGAGTCCGTGCCGCTTACCAAGTTGTGAGCTGCTGGCCGGGGATATTGAGGAAGGACTAGCCACGGGGGAAGACACCATCATCTGTATCATTTCGAAGCCTCATGGTTCCAGTCGTGGTTGAAGAGGGGAAGGGTCGTCGGGAATGAAGGACGAAGTGTCGCCTCTTTTTCTTTTAGTTTTTATTTATTGTTTTGGTAACATGTTGCATTGGTGAGAGGTCTGGGTCACGAAATCAGGTTGGAGTGAACCCTGAATCCTTAGCCGCCCCCGGGAAAGGCGGAAAGATGTCAGCCCGGGGAAACTAACAGCTTCTGGCATTCTTTAATGAGTCACGTGTTACCCCGCCTAACCGCCCTGGTCTAGGGTGACAAGAGAGGGAAGGCTCGGTTACTAGGGAACGTGGAGTATCCGTAGATAACTCGTCATTGGGCAAGCATTGCGGGATGGCATCGCCCTAAAGAGGAATTCATTAACCGGCCAAATAATGAAACAATGCTCGGGGGGTTACAGGTGAGAGGCACGGTCCGAAAATCCGTGATATGTATAGTATCATTCCAACGAAGAGCAAGAAAAGAAGGGCTGGACCGACCGCTGGTGTGGGCGGCCGTGGAGGGTGTTTGTTCATTGGTATAAATAAATAAAGTCTAAGAGTCCCCCCTCCCAAACGCCATCGCTATGCACCCGCCCCGGAATTGATGTCCCTCCCCCCCGCCACCACCTTGTAGGAAAAAGTTACTTTTGGCGAATATTCTTGGCCTTACGCTTCTTGAACACCACAGCCGGCGCTGCGGCCTCCATGGAGCCCGCCGCCACCGCCTCCTTGCCTTCGTCCTCCTTCTTCACGGCGTCCTCATCCAGTGCCGGCAAGTTTAGGCCTTTGCCGGCACCATCCTCGGTAGGTTCCCTCTTGATCGAAGGCGCGCCCGGTTCGTTTCCGGACGCAGCATCCCCCACGCCCTCCTCCATCTTGACTGGGACCCCCATGATGCCCTCTTTCGTAATATCAAGGTCCTTCGTCCCGGCGGATGTCTGCTCTTCCTCCGTAACCTCCTCCTCCTCCTCCTTCTTCACCGGCCGTAGAAGCGTGCTGCTGCCGAGCAGCGCGTCGAGGTCCGCGTCGTCCTCCGGCATCGTCTTGGTGCCGCCCCATCTCCTCGGCTTCTTGAACAGGCCCCGGACGGCCTCCTCCTCCTCCCTCTCCTCCTCCGTCTGCTCGCGCTTCCGCACCCCGACCGCCTTGGCCTCGACCGGCTTCTCCCGCAGCGCGTCGTCGTCGTCGATGACCTTTGTCGCCGTCACCGTCCACTCGCCCGCCATCGCCATGTCGCCCCGAAACGCCGTCGGTATCGACACGCCCATCGCCGCGAGTTGCTCCATCTGCTGCTTCCGCTGCGCCTCGGTCGACGACGACGCCGCCGATGACGCCGCGCCCGACCCGGACCTCGAGTACGACGGCGGCCCGGCGAAGGACGACGCCGAGGACCCCGGCGCGATGCCCTTCAGCCGCTCGACCTCGCGCTTCGCCCGCTCCTTCTCGCGCTCCTCCTGCTCATGGCCGCGGTGCAGGTCGCGCAGGAACCGCTTGAGCGCGCCCTGGTGCTTCCCGGTCGCCTCGTGGTTCTGCCGCTCGAGTTTCGTGTCGCGCACGTAGATGCTGCAGTGCTTGCACCAGTATTTCGGCGTCGATTTCCAGTATTCCGACATTTTGGTGGGTGGCTGGGTGGGTAGGACGTCGCTTCGTGGGTTGGACAAACCAGTGCAGGTGAAGATGGATGGCGTTTTCCAGCCCAGACACTGTCTGTCACTGTAGGTGCTGGAATTACGAGGTTCGACGCAGAAGGCGTCAATAACCCCTGCACGGGAGATCTTCGGTTAAGTTTCCGCAGGTACGTACCCAAGATAGGTACCTCCTTACCTACCTTCCCACCTACTCGGGAAGGGGGTTCACCTCTCCCTTCTATTTATTTTTCAACCCATAGGTGCACAGACCCCTCTGTTAGAAAAACGTATAGAAGACGCCCTGTACCCCTAACAGGGCGTACAGATCTGGTCTCTTTTAGCAAAATCTGTTCTTAACACCACTATAATAACACGCCTCTTCTTTACTATAACACCTCTATACAGATAAGTCACACTAAAAAGACAAGCTAAAGGCCTTTCTAGAGAGTTTAGGCTAATATAATAACCCTTACTTTATATACTACTATATAGGCTAACTAGCTATACTAGGTTTTTTTTTTTTATATAGGTTTTTCTTAGTATAATTATTTACTTTAGTAAAAACTTAAATAAATTAGTACTAATAAGAAGAATAATAAGGAATCTAACTAGGTAGAAGTATATCTAATAGACCTTAGTAAGAAAAAAAGGCTCTAGACAGGAGCACTTTAATGTTACTCTTGTAAGGAAAATCACGCTAGAGCCTTAGGCACTAGTTAGTACTAAAACCAGCACTAGATTAAACTTTTACCCCTAAAGGCAAAAAGGACCCTCTGTGCCTATAGCACTGTTATCCTGTACTACTCTATATATATGTAGGTAACGTAAGCCCTAGGATTAGCGGTAGGCGCCCTTTGCCCTAAATAGGGACGTCCTGGCGTTAAACACAACAACAACAACAATAATTGGGAAGGGGGTTTAGACTGTGCCCTATTGTGACGTACAGTAGAGCCTTATACTGTAGGTAAGCACCCACGCGCCGTAACATTTGACTTCAAACTTTGTCTCCCACCCACATTCGACCAAGGGCGTACGTTGCGCCTGTATAGGATGGCGTGGAACATGGGGGGGTTCGTGGTGGTGTCTGACATAAAACACGATGGGCAGGGCGTTCAGCATAACCTTCAAGTGATTCAAGAACCTAGGATTTCAACATACGTTGAGTCTCATGCCCATGCGATTAAGCCCCTGGACTTACCGTCAGGCGTAGTTGATCCGGTATCTTTATGGCAGATGCCGAAAGAAGCAGAGTCAGTTTGCTATAGCAATAGTACATAGACACACATTTCCATGATAAGAGAGGAGGGCGTCGAACTGATAAGAGGAAATGTGGCACGAGGTACTTGAGACTGGGCCGCGATCACGGTCTTATCAAGATTTGTTAATGACCAGCCTCTAAACCAAGCAGCCAATGTTTCAATACACAGAAGTCTACCATGTAAATAGTTTGGCATCTCATTTGCTGTCTAGCGGCTTGTCTTTGTGATTCGTGTTTGTTTGATGGGGGAATTTGAGAAAAGCGAAACACGTTGGTGTGTCGATCGCACGGACGGAATCTCAGCCCACATGAGTAATTGTTTCGGAGGTCAATATAGAGACTCTCTCTAATCCGGACAGACAATATGTTGCGTTTTAAGCCCGCGTTGCCAGGTTACTCCGGTTTGTTGCTATAAAAATGGAAGATGTGAACCGGGGAGGGAGAGGGACCGGGGGGGGGGGAAGCAATCACCCCCCTCTCACGAACAGACTGACTCGTCCGGGACTATAGCACGCCACGAGGCACACATTTAGATGAACATGAGGACTCCCTTCCCGCTGGTATTGACTGGTTGTTTCTATTGGTACCTAATTACCGGGGGGTAGGGGGTGGGAATATGTAATCTGTGTTGCAAGCCTGCAAATCATCTGTGTCTCCCCCATGTCTTCGCGCCAGCGAAACAAACTTTTTTGTGTTCATCATCCATTAAAAGTTGCCGTTTGCCCAGGCAAAAAAAAGGCTGTGAGAAGTCGCGCACGCTGTGCTGTGTATTAAACCTCATCTCTCTCTCCCTATCTCTGCCCCCTCTCTCTCCTAGATTGATAAAAGTCTCCTCCCAAAACTGCCGGCAATGAATTCCGTTAGAGCATGTACAGAGCCGCGGAGAGCATGACGACGAGCGCCAGGAATGAGGTTGGGGCGAGGCTCGGACCCCCCGCGACGGGAGGAACCACCGGAAAAGGAGCTGTCGGTCCGGGCCGAACTGGGCCGGGAGCGGTGCCCGGCGGGTTCTGGGGGTTCGAGGTGTTTGCTGCAGGAATCGACTGCGAAGGGGTCGTCATGGCGGGCGGGGCAGGAGTTGTCTTGGCTGGCATGCTGGCATTTGGCTTGCCGGTGACGGGCGGGAGATTACCGCAGAGAGAGGTGTGGGCCTGGATCTGTCCGTCGCCGATCTGGCAGACAGGAAGGGGAACCGTGGTGGCAACCACTTGCGGCGCGCCGTCCCCGAGGTACGTGACGTTGGCCGGCACGACCATGACGTTGCCGTCTTGCTTGCCACTGTTATCGAACGCGGGGGCGTTCTGGCCGCATGGCAGAATGGCGAGGTGGATGGGCGAGCACTGCTCAGCCCAGTTACGGTCGTACAGGTTCCAGAAGTTACCCGAGAGGCAGCGGAAGAAAGTGGTGGATCCGCCGAGGGCCAGAGAGCCGTTGGTGCAGACGGACCAGCCAGCAGTGTAGATGACGCCGGCCTGAGGGGGGCCGTCGAACTGGAACTGAAAGTTTGACACAATCGAGCCGATGCGGCCTTTGGAGTCAGTCAAGACACCATCCTTGAGCGTCATGTCGAGCGAGCCCTCGGCGTTGCAAGAGCCTCTCTTCTGTAAGATTTGTCAGTCAATCTCCTCTACATGTGGCAGTGGTGGTGCCGGCGGCGAGGAGGCTCACGTTGAGGCTTTGCGTGCCGAGCTCGACGACAGCCATGCCGAAGTTGCCGTCGAAATTGTTCTGGCAAGAGGACGGGGGGCCACTCGGGGGAGACAGAAGAGGAATGGGGGAGCTCTGAGGCGCGGCCTGGGGCATGGCGAGGGCCATGCCGGCCATAGTGCAGGTAACAAACGCAGAGAGACGCATTGCGATTGACTGTTGAGATTGTAAATTAGCAAACCTTTTCTGGGATGAAAGATGATGAGTGTTCATAAGGGTCGGCAGCCACGCGGAAAGTGCAAGTGAGACTGCAAAGCGCCGGCGATATCATATAGAACACCTCACTCGCGATCCATCGGGAGGATAGCCAGCCCCTTCCACGACTTCTTCGTCGATGTGGACGATGACATCGCCAAGGTGTCCCATCTCGGCACTCGCTGAGAGGTGCACCAGTCCGAAACTGGTGCCAAGGAGAACTGTCGAATGGCCGATGGCGTGTATCAAGGCACATATCAAGCCTTCGCAAGTGCAACGGACGCCAAGAGTTGGCGAGGTAGATACGAGAAGGACGAGGAAAAGGATTGCTGCCCAACTCACTCCAAACAGAGATGATCTAGAAGGAATAACCACGTACCTGAAGTATGCTTGGCGATTTATGGTCGGCAGCAAGGCCGGTTCTGTGGAAGGTTTGAAGGTGATAATCCGGCGGTTGCTGAAGGCGACGGTGGTCCAAGGTGCCAAGGAGGAAGTGGTGATGTGGCCGAGAAGAAACTTCCTTGTTCTTTTAGACCTCTCACAGCCCAGACTTATTTGTTTCGTCTCCCAAGCCCCAATGGTGGTTGAGTTGTGTGCCCTCGACACAAACTATGACCTCGTTCAAGAATCACACAGAAAGTGCGGATGGTGCTTGCTGTGGTGTTGTCTTTCGTATTCGGTGGCCGTGTAGGATCGTTCACGCACGCAGTGCAAATGAGGATAAATAAGAATACCGGACGATGGAATGAGGCTTGCTCTTCCTTGATGATCGTTGTCGCTCAATGTGTAAGAATTGAAAGGTGACTTGCTAACTCCAGGTCCTTTCCAGCATCGAAAGACGAGAGGACGAGAATAATAGGTAGCAAAGAGTCTAGCGAGGGAAACGCGGCAGCCTTATGGCGGAGATTATAGGCAAGGATGGGGAATGCGGTCGAACCCTCGGAGCTGAAAGGGGGGGAAGGGCAAAAAGGAGGAAGAGTTGGGGCCTGGTGCTTCATATAGCCAAACAAGGCTGTGTTCCGAGTTTTTTCCTCTTATTTTTGGCGGCGGATAGGGTGCAAGATAAACTTCAGTCGTCATGGGTGGGTTGCGCTTCTTTGATGTCCTGGAACGGGGTTTCATGGACTGGACTGAATAAGCTACGTACGGGGGGTTTACAGTCGGCCCAATGTAGTCTAAGTGGCAGTCTATCTGCGAAAGGAACAGACATTTGTATGTACAAATTGTCATCTTGTCCAACCAAAAGACACAAAGACTACCTACCAGGTGTATGGAGTACTCGCAAACAAACCCATGGACAAAGACTTCTGCGCTTGGATATCATATCTGAGGCCAGAAGCAATGCCATAACCGAACACCCTTCTGTCGATGAACGTGGGTGTTAGATGAGTGGACGGATGGTTGGGTGGATTACTGAGGGCGCAGGGGTTGGTTAGGGAGGCTGCATCAGGGCTGGGCTGCTCGGCTGACTGGGCTGGGCTGGGGACAAGCTTCAGCCAGGACCAGGGTTGGAGTCATGATCCATGGCGACCACTCGTAGTGTACAGCACTATTCGTAGTACGCTTACGAATACTATGGATAATAGTGCTTGTGCAGAGCCACAATGTCAAACCCGCGGACTCAGTGTTTTGCCGGCCGTTGCAATGTCAGAGGTACAACATCGGTGACTTTTCGACGCTGCCAGCGCAGCAGACTGTAAGCTTCCCGTCGAGTCATGGTGAGGCGTGCAATTACATACTTGTACAGAGTACTCTAAGAAACCATGTATACTACGTGTCATTCAGACGAACCGGGCAATTGCAACTAGAAGCGGCTTTTCGTGCCTCTACCTCTTTGCAAGCGCTTTGTCCTGTACGAATGGATACTCTGGGCGGACAAGATGCACAAGTCTGCGAGAGGGCACCGCCCCCCACTCGTAAGATGTCGCAAAAGACAGCCCAGTTGATGACTGGGAACCCAAGGATACCTAGACCACTCGCCCTGTCCTGTGCTGAGACAGGGAGGGCTCTTGCGCAGCTACCCGCTGGGGAGGTTCCTGGGAAGCTGGAACCGAAAACCTGTATTGAGTGTAGGGATGGTTGGGAACTGCTGTTCACCAGGCACGGCCGCTTCTCACGGCTAATGACTGAGTAAAATGAGAGGACTGCATTGTGTGCATTGCGCGGAATTCCGGACTTGTCAGGCTTATTTCGTGAAATGCTTCCCATGTGCTTGCGATACTGCGGTTTTTGCGCATCTGAAAACGGTCGACTTCCAGTGGCGCTGGCTGGGGCGGAGGCCTTAGAGTAGGAGTGGCTCCCAGGGGTTACTAGGCTCTGCGGAAGCCGAGAGTGGAGCCCGTCTCTACAACCAAGCTTGTGTGCCTGTCTTGGGGCTGCCGTGTCATGATCTTCGGTCCGGCAGTGAGGGGTCATCAGCAAAGGGGGTGAACTGGGGTGTCGACAAATGTTACCGGGAGGGAGCCAGAAGTGATGGAAACTGTACCGACGGGAAGCTAGGTATTGGTCGAATGGTGTGGCATCAATGATCCAGTGAGGTTACGACATGGCGGTTTCCCTCCCCCCTTGGCTGAGGCTCGAGAATTAAGTTCGGTGAGAACGTCCGGAGGAAGGGAACGTGTCCCTGGCGCGGAACAAGGAGACGGGACTCAGTGTTTCTCTGAGGCAGTGTTTGGTTCAAAGACAACACTCGACAAACCGAGACAGTCTTGTTTCCCTTGCTTTGGAGTTGTTGTTGTTGTTTGGTTGCCAGACCTATGGTGGCTTAGAGTGTGTCACCCGAGTCGTTTTCCCCTTCCCTTCTGTTTTGTAAGTGTCTGGTGCAGAAATTCAAAGAAACCGGAGGGTTTCTTCGGCAGGAGAAACATTCTCCAGGATGTCCGTTGTCGGTGCAGACATGAAGTGCCGTCAACCTAGTCAGCCACGAATAATTGCACTGCAGTGTCTTGATTTCGGTCCGTCTGACTGACAAAGAGCACTTCTCCGGCCTCCAGGCCCGAAATGTCGCATGCCGTCTCTCATCCATGCCGGCTACACCGCCGGCACGGCTTCGCTCCAGAACCATTTAGCTCGAGTGGCGTACAAGCTTGTCCCACCACATTCGTTCTTGGCGGCATCGGTGGGCCGAGAATCTGGCAGCGAGAATCGCACGGTTGAGTCCGGGTTATCGAGTGTCGTCTGGTCGGGTGATGTTGGCGCGTGTTAGCCGACCTTACCTTTATGATCCTGTAAATACCGGCGAGCCTCCTCATCTGACAATGTCTTTGACCGACATCCTTTCACCGATTCGTCACCGATAGCCGGGGGAGGGGCGAGAGATCGGACGCCTGGGCATGGGCTCGATTAGGAGAGGGAAAGCAACCACCTTACAAGGAAAGGCGGGCCGGCCTGTTACATGCGCTGCAGCTCGGCAAAAGCGCCAAGCCGAGCCGCCCAGCATTAGCACGGTCCACTCAGTATCAGATCAGAGAGCCTGTGTCGATGTGCCCACACCGAAGACTCGGCACCTCGCTCGCTGACTGATTGGCTCTGCCGCCCTGCAGACCTCTTCCAGGCCCCTGCCCTATGCCTCCTCTCCCGTGGCGCCATCAAACCCTCCTGGAACCGGACCGTAATGACAGGATACGCTCTGCCAGCTGTCGAGGATTGCAAATGCGGGAGCGCGGCCCTGTGGCAGCATGGCGGGAGGTGCCTGGCCAGCGGCAGGGCACGGGGGAAAGGTTGAGTACCTATGTAGCAAGGGAGAGTGACGATCCCACCAAGGGAGCAGCCAGTAGAATCGACACGTACAAACCTGATCCAACTGTCAATCAAAGTGATCCAAATCAAACAAAGTTTTGTGCGGTGTGCCAATGTAGCGAGCGTATGCTGGCACCTACCCCGTCGAGGCTGCTATCGTCGCACTTGGCTGATGGCACCAGGTCTCGTGGCTTGCTTTCCTTGCCTCGGTGGTGTATTCGTACCGCAGGGGCAGCATGCCAACCTGCCGGGATCATGCGGAACAGGTCCGCGTGTACCGTATAATAGTCACAAAGCTGGCCGCAAACGGCGATGGTTTGCGGCGTCGGTGCTGGGTCTCCTTGTGACCCCCTCGAGACTTGCATCCAGCAGACCCAGCGAGATCCGTATCTGGCCATTCGTTCGCGAAAGCTGAAGGCTGCTGCTAGGCTGCTTCCGTCTCAGCATGGGTCCCAGCAGCGGGGGTAAAAGGGAATTGACATTTTTGAGATGATAAAAGATCGGATCACGGGGGGAGATCAGTGTGTCTGCATGAAAAAGCGGATATAAAGATGACTGTGGTTGGCTCTGGGCAAACAGACCAAGTGTCCAAGCGACGGAAGGAGCATCGCAACTCTTGCGTTCTAGGTAGACTGAGGCGGATGCATCCTAACTGGCAGGCACGACCCACCATTATGTGCGATCTTGGCATTAACATAATGGCATGTGTTACCTAGGTAGTTAATAACTTCCGGCTTACTTTTGACGACATCGCCGTGTGTGGGCAATATGTGTGTCTGTAATCTTTGATCTCAAACATCAAACGTGAAGCTCAAAATTCCTGCCGAGTAATAACGTTGCTTTCTTTGACTGATCGTCTGTAAAGGCTATCGATACCAAGTGTTGCAGGAAGCAAAAGTGGCAGGAAACAAGAGTGGCGATGCACACCTACGCCTCGGTTCAGTTTTGTATCTATATAATGGGCATTTAACATTGTTTCATAATGCCAAAGCCTCTTAGCCATAGACTGTGATTTTCTTAAGCACTCTTCTCCGCGCTTCGCTCGAGCATAAAGCCGAAAAAAAGCAAGACAGCGAGAGACGACATGCTACGAGGCGGCGGTTGCTTGCCCAGCACACCTCTGGCGTGGATGCAGTAGGCAGAGAGGGTGAAACTTGGACGCTGACGCCTTGCAGCCCGCCCCTGAGAGGGGTGAAGAGCTCATCGACAACATCGTTATCCGGCTCTGGACTTTTCTTGCATGTTAACAACGGCGTTTGAAGCTCGATGAAGATTCATGGTGTCCCGTACGTACCTAGGGGCAAATAAATAGCTGTGGACGAGGCCCGGTTCACTTTCCCGTCTTCGAAATACGGTCCCTAAGACGAACATGGTTTTTTTAATCACGACATCGGTCTGAGTTTGGCCCACAATGGCCAAGGGGGCAATCGGATCAGGCCAAACTATCCATATTGATGAATATAGTTGCTCTAGGACCACCATAAGCGGTCTAACACAGCTCATCCGGTACATATATAATATCACGGTACATAACGACCTGATACGCAGCACCTCTGTACCTATGCCATCCATACAAGGCGTCTTCAGCATGGAGTGAACTGTGTCTTGTCATCAAGTATTGAAGCAGGCAACCGCTTTCTTTGCGTAAGCGGGAACATTGGTAGCCGGCAAGACTTTGACGGAATCTCATCCCCTTGGTGAGCTGCTTTCTCCGCCCATTGTGATCGATCAGGAAGAATTACGACAGGGGCGAGGACGAGAACGAACCAGCAGACTGATGCAAGTTAGCAATGTCTTTATGATGACTGCCCGGACCATTCTTACATGGTGACGGATGTTGTAGCACGCCCCGTGTTTTCAAGTAAGAAGTCCCCCCCCTCTAAAGAATCATGAGCAAACGAACAATGAACAGGAAATCACTTGACACGTTTCTCTCGATAGAAAAAAGCATAGCGAGCTATGGGCGAGAACCCTTCCCCCGAGGCAATTCTTACGTCACATCTCACACGGATTGCGACTGGACGAAATGGAATACTCTTGAATTGGCTGAATTCGACTTGTGCTTTTAAATGACCAAAGACGCATGCATCTATGAAGAGTGATGGAGCTCTATCCGACTGCAATGCAAATCCTTTCTTCATTACGTCGTCGTCCGTTAACCTCACCACATGCAACGCACCCTGAGCCCTCAGGCTTACATGATGACCTCGTTTGCGACGTCCTAAAGAAGTGTCAGTGCCGGTAATCGTAGCCGGGAATAGGGGAGAACACACCCTCTTCAACTCCTTGAACGGCAGGCAGACACAGTTTTGCACACGGACCTCATCACCCACACCGCAGTCCTTACCCAGAATGGTGATGCTCTGGACCTTGACGCCGTTCTTGATGATACTGGTCGTGTGGCTGCCGACGGGAGTGGGTGTGCCCTCGACACGCGCCCAGGCGCCGACGCGGCTGCCCCATCCGATGATGGAGTAGAGAACGCACGAGTCGTGCTTGATCTCCGAGTCCTCGAGGACGACGGCCTCCTTGATGCGGGCACCAGGACCGACGTGAACGCGCGGTCCGATGGACACGTTGGGGCCCAGCTTGGCAGTGGGGTCGACGTGGGCAGTGGGGTGGATGAAGACGGGAGGGATGATGTTTGCGCTGGGCTCGGCGAGCTCCTTGGAGCCCGTCTGCCAGGCCTTTTGGAGGTAGAGGGCGTTGGCAGGAACGGCGGAGCCGGCCGTCTTGATCTGGCGCCAGAAGTCCTTGGTCTCGTAGACGAAGAAGGACTTGGTATCGGCAAAGTCACTGAGGATGTCCTGCTCGAGGCGGATGACTTGGTTCTTGCGCTCCTCGTCGTCGTCAGCTATGATGAAGCTGTTCTCGAGGTTCTCGGAGCTCGGGTAGGAGGCGAGGCGCGAAGGGCGGTCGGTACGGCGCTTGATAGCGGTCTTGATGGAGGGGAAGATGGCGTCGGTGGAGAAGAGGTAGACACCGCAGTTGATGAGGTTGCTGATTTGCGACTCGGGCTTCTCGACATAGTGGAGGACGCGACGGGTGTGGGCGTCGCTGACGATGCAGCCAAAATTGGTGGCAGCCTCGTTGGAGACGCGGGTCCCAAGAATGACAGCTTCGGCGTTCTTGTCATGGAAGAGCTGGAGCATCTCGGGGAGGGGGAAGGAGCAGCAGACATCGGCGTTCAATACGAAGAGGCGCTCGGGGTGGCCCTTGAGGATGGGATCGCGGAAGTGGTAGAGACCACCAGCAGTACCCAGAGCCTCATATTCGCGCAGGTACTTGATGGTCAGGTTGGGGAACTCGCTGGCAGCATCCTTGATGAAGTCGCGGAAGACGGACTCTTCGTAGTAACCGATAATGAGGACCTCGGTGATCTCCTTGCCGGGGACTCGGTCGATGGCAGCCAGGCAGTGCCAGATGATGGGGTGGCCGGCGACTTCGAAGAGAGGTTTGGGGACGTCGAGAGAGAGAGGACGGAATCGAGTACCGCGGGAAGGACCGCCGACCTGCAGTTTTTTGAGGGTTCTCTGGTTAGCTCGTGGCCGTTTGCAGAGGACAACAACAAGACGGCGCTTTCTGCGGAGGGGAACAAGGCGGGTGAGGGTATTTTTTATATTTATATTTATTTTTTAGAGACGCACGCGCCGGCGCACGGTGAAGCAATGCGCAACGCATGCAGCACACGCAAAAGGTGTTCATACCAGAATAACGGCCTTGGTGGAAGACTCTCCAGAGGCCTTTCCGCGGTAGGGGACCTGCAGCGACATGGTTTGGGCGGAGATGTGGTCTGGTTAGATTTGAGGTGAGGAGGAAAGCGAAGAATGGCTTGGATGAGGTCGCTGGAGGTTGCTGCCGTATGGAGGTGGCCGCAAAATGCAACGTCACCGCTTTGCGGACATGGTTTACGGATACTCCCTCCCTACCTTTGTAGTGTACGGATAGGTAGACGAGGAAGGCAGGCCCCTCCCCCTCCCAAGTTCAGTGCACAGCGCAGCGCAGCACAAGACAGGCAATAGGCACGATGTATGTTTTGACAGGGATCATTGGGTGGCTTGTGCAATTGTACACCTGTGGCGGATGGTCCCTGATCTGTTACGGGAGGACATGAAGACCTGCCCATCAGCCGGGCATCAAACAGGTATATCCTATCTGCAGGACCCTGTGCGGGGGATATGGGGAGATGAGCCTCCTCGGCGTGCAGGATCCAACCAGCCTCAGAAGCTCAAGTGGCTCAGGAACACATGCGATGAGCTCTGCCAGCTCATTGGTGTCCCTCTTCTCGATGCTTTCTTTTTTTCTTTTTCTTGTTCAAACATCTGTCGTCTTTGGCCAAGTGTCCATTATGCGACAGCTTCCTCCCAACCTCTTTCTTTTCTTCTTGCTCTTATCAACAGCAATCAGTTCACTTGATATTTACGTCATTATCTTGTGTGGAAAATATGTGCGGGATGATTGTTACAGAGTCGGTCTCAACTCTTTCAATATAGGTACTTGAGTACCTATGTAATAGGTACCTACATACGGATACCAGGTAGGCAGTCTCAGCATCAGGACGAGGCAATGTTAAAAGGTTGAGAGACAAGATAAGATGTGTGCAGGAGGTTGTCCAATTGGACCTTTCCAACCAAGCCAATTTACGCGTTGCCACACGACCGTGTTGAGAACGTGTAAAGTAGGCGGCGACACACGCGACGAGGGGTGGTGGTGGCAAGGCAAACAGTGACATGGTTGACTGGGTGAGGAGGCACCCATCTCCCGCAAATTCTGCCTGCCAGCTGTGCGATTTGGGGACGTTCGTTAGGTACCAAGGCGCGTCCTGCTCTTCCCCGTGCCGTGGGATCGTCACAGCCAAGCTCCACTGCCAGCCATTCTTTCGCTCCCCCTGAGGTCCATGACATCCCTGCCTGGACAGCAACCGGCGATGCACCTCGTTCGCTCCAGTCTGTAATAATCATTGATAGCATCTACTTCACCTCGCTAGACACATCACGACATATCATTAGCAATAAGCCGTCAAATCAGTTGAAAATGACTCCAGTTGGCACCTATTTTCTTCATTACCTTGACAAGTTTTCATTCCGGCTCCAGCAGACTTTTACCCAGTGAAAACACGCCGACCCTGGCCTTGATACAAGTCCTGCCTAACACTGACAACCACTTTCAGGTGAGCATCTGGAGCGTGGGGACCTCACGTTGCTCAGGTCACCCAAACGAGGAAGGAGCTCTTAAAGCTTCGGAGCTCCCCAGAGCTCCTTCCTTCACCTTCTTGGGCTTCACTTCATCTTCCATATCTCACTCACTCACTTCCTCTTCACCTTCTCACTTCACTTTTTCAGTCACTTTGAAACGCTTCGTTGCCTGGTTTCTCAATTGCCTGGCCCCCAATTGTCCCTTTGTCTTTTTGCACTGCGCCCCGGCCTTCTTCATAAATTCCCCTCTATCCCGTCCCTATCGTTCGTCTCTTCTGCTTCACTTTGCCCAATATGACCAAGGCAAGAGCGCAAAGAGGCAACCAGCCCATCAAATCCGAGCCTGGCGCCCGCCGCCACAGCAACGACACCTCTACCACTCCTTCTGCCACCAATACATACGATTACTCTCCAGACCAGACCAGACATCAAGCTGCCTCGTACATCGGTCCTGCCGATGTCAACCAGTCGTTCATGAGATCGGATGCTCGTGAGTTCCTCCCCAATCCAATCTTTTTTCTTTTTATGATTCCGTTCCTCATGTCTGCCAAATTCAATAGCGACGCCCTCTATCTTGATCCCCAACCATCCTGGCCTTCCCTCTGTACGGACGGCGCTCACAAATCCCACTTTCGACGAGAGCGAGCCCGTCCTTTTGCAAGTCAGGAACCGCGACATGGATCCTCCCGTCGTTCCCATGCAGAATGATTCGTTCTTTGATGGTTCCTTCCGGGATATCGGCGCCAAGGTCAAGATCTTCAACGATACGCTCGGTGAACTTCAGCAGATTGGCGTCTCTCACGATGTCGCACTTCCACAGCTGGTCTTAGTCGGTGACCAATCCGCTGGAAAGTCCAGCCTCATGTCTGGCCTGGCCGGGCTCAACCTGCCACGCAGTGAAGGTGTATGCACCCGCTGCCCTATCCACATCCGTGTCTCTCGCAGCGGCGCCCGAGACCGTGGCGGGCCTCAATGGTCTTGCCGTGTCTCTCTGCAGCAAGACTATGCCTTCAAACCTCCGCCCCACTACAACATCACCAAGGCCGATGTTACAGCAGCAAACCCTTTCCCTCCCTGGGTCAAGCAAGCACGCGTTGTCAAGGAATTCATGACCATATACGACCAGTCAGATATCGACACGGTCCTCAAGTGGGCCCAGATTGCCATCCTTAACCACGACCAGAACCACGAGCTCTACGTCCCTGGCACCGGCGCAATCACGAAACAGAGCCTGCTCGACGAAGAGGCAGAGAGGACCTTGGCAAAGTTCAGTCCCAATACCGTCGCCCTTGAGATCAAAGGTCCCGATCTGCCCGATCTCTCGTTCTATGATATGCCAGGCATCTTTCGCAATTCTGCACGAGAGGAAGATGAGTACCTCGTTTCGGTGGTTGAGAATCTGGCCCGTGAGTACATCTCGCACGCTGGCGCCCTTATCATCTGGGCTGTGCCGATGAACGTTGATCCGGAAACATCCTCCACGCTCTCCATCATCCGAGACCTCCGCGCCCAACAGCGGACCATTGGGGTCATGACCAAGGCCGACCTCCTACCTGAAGGCAACAATAACCAGTGGATGTCAATGCTGCGTGGTGAGCGGCACAAGATTGGACACGAGTTCTTCATCACATCTCGCCCTTCTGATCAGAACCTCGACCAGCAACAACGCTGGGAGGAGGCCTTCTTCCACCAGGACAGCAGTGAGCGCTGGCCGGAAGAGTTCCACCCCTTTCGAGACCGATGCGGTGTCGAGAAGCTGAAGACGGCTTTATCAGAAAAGTTGGGCAAGGAGTTTGCCAAAAAGTAAGAAGGCCCCCTACCACCGTGCTTTGTCCCAATACTGACTTCTCCAGCTTGCCTTCTATCAAGCAAAAGGTCCAGACACGACTTGGCGAAATCGAGAGACAGCTCAGCACGCTTCCTGAACTGCCTAACAACGTCGAGTTGGAGGTCAGAAAGAGCCTGATGAACTTTTCCACCATCGTCAAGGAAACCCTTCGCGCAAGACACTTTTCCTCTAACTACGGAACTCTGTCGGATAACTTCCGTGACTGCATCCTGCAGATGAAGCCCAAGTTTGTCCTGAAGGACAAGTCTGATATTCCCGTTCTTGAAATCTCTGACGACGACGACGAGTCGGCCAACACCACTCCCGGTAACAGAAAGCGCAGTGCGAATGGCCAGGGCTTTGCGAACGCCAAGAGACCCCGCCCTACCCCTACTGTCAACGGCGGCTCCTTTTCGGCGGCTGTTAAGATGGAAGACGGCGGTTCGACACCAAACACTCCATCCCGTAGAAGACCGCCTCCGTCGGCACCTCTTGTTGGCCCCTTCCAGCAGTACTTCAACCATGGCGCAGGATTCCGGACGCTGGCGCAGATTCGAGAGGACATTAGAGCCAAGACTAAGGCTGGTATGCCTAACATCGTTCCCGATGAGGTGTACGAAGAGCTCGGCAAGAAAGCAGTGAGAGACTGGGATAGGCCCATGGCCACGTTTGTGCACGAGACTATGAGTCGACTGCAGAAGATTGTCGACTGGGCTCTCGATCAAGCTTTCGGGTCCCTGAAGAAGCGCCTGATCTTCAAAGAGTCCAAGGCCCTCATGGACGAATTCCTGAATCAGCGACGGGCCGAGACGATGGCCTTCCTCAGGGAGATCTTTGAGATGGAGACATTCCAGTTGTTCACAGTCAACCAGAAGGCCTTTGCCGACTACGAGCGTTCCGAGAGCCGAGTACTGACGCGCTATCGCCATGTTATGCGCTGGCAGGCGTTCTCTGGCGAGCAATCCGACTTTCATGATTGGGAGAAGATGACACCGGACCAGCAAAGCCATGAAGAGAAAAAGCATGCCTCTGAACTGGCGAAAATGGGTCCAGACCCCTTCGATAAGGAGCTGAAGGTGGCCGCCTATGTTCGCGGCTACTACATGCTTGCAGCCCTTCGCTTCACTGACACGGTCTGTCTCTCAATCACATCGCGTATGATGCCGAAAATCATCCAAGATCTAGACTTCTTCCTGGAAAAGAAGCTTGGCTTGGTTGGCGGGCATGACGACTCGATCTTTTCTCGTCTGATGGAGGAGGATGAAGACACTGCTCTTAAGAGGGAACGTCTCAAGGGCGAGCTCGAAAAGTTCAACAAGGCACTCCAGTCGATTACGACCAACGAGTTGGAGGATGTGTCAGGCTCGTCATCGCAGGGGCACACGCAGTTCGGACCGGACGCGGAGTCTGTGGCCGATAGCATGGACCTGGACTCGTCGATCTGAACTGCCAGCAACTCTAGACTACTATGTTCTGCCATGGCAAACCAGGGGGTTTTCCTGTTTCTCCGATGTAAGGGAGAGAGAGAGGAAGAAGGGGTGGAGAGAGAGATTGCCCACCAAACGGTCAAGGGATTGTAAATTTTGTAGTTGTACTTGGCAACGAATTTCAGGCGGGAAAAGGTTTCGAGTGGGATTACTTGCAGAGGCTTGTGTGGCAACAGAGACAGGACACAAGCCGTTGGACAACCTTGTAGATGGTTGAACTGGCTATTTGGCGTCATGGCGTACCGGATATCGGGGCCATGTGGTGGCTCTTTCCTTTGTTTCCGATCAGAAGGAAGGGGCTTCGTACAAGATACCAATAATGTAGGTAGTTTGAGTCAGACAATTGACGCAAAGATGTAATAACTTGCTGACGTCGAAGTGTCAGATGGATGAACTGTAAAGATGAACTGTAAAGAGGAGACAGCTGGAGTTCCAGATGACCAGGTCGATGGATGCAAGCGAGATCGACCAGAGGCGGCTGTACAGTCTGCCATTGGTGTTCCGGGTTCCGGGCCTACCTACCTACTTACTACCTACCTACCTAGTGCACCAAGGAGACGTGTGGCAAGACCGGAGCCTGAGGAAACGAGCCGTCGTGCCTGCCGAGTCGCCATCTCAGTAGTTCATATTTGGGCTTTGCTGGCCGAGGGGAAGGAATGCCTCAATTTCCGGCTGCTTCCTCCCCTTTTCTGCCGTAGATGTCTTCCTTTCCAAACTATGAGAACACGTTCCCCGTGTCTTTACTGATGCAGCTCTCGTTTGACTCAAGGTTGCCATTCGTCCGTCGCCCTCCGAAGGACCTCCATCTTCCATCCTGCATATCGCGGTCTGCGACCCAACAGCACATGATCTGCAAGAATATTCGGAAGCCTCCCGGATGACCGAGGCCGTCCCTTCATGCATCACGTCGCAGCAGCCCCTTTCTTTCCCCTAGAAACTGTTTGGGTAACAGGTACCACACCTTCAACTTTAGCCGGCTTGGGGCGTTCCCATGGCTCTGGGACGCATTTCTGGGGTCGTTGGCCAGCCGCTACACGAAGGCTGACTATCGGCTAATATGCTCAGGGCCCTAGCTAGCCATCAACCACGACCGACCACGACGTACAGCGGCTATTTGCAACCGAAAGCGCTGGCGAGGAATAACTATTGATTCGAGAGCGGCCAATGTCGGGCGAAGTTCCCAACCGCTGGATTGCGCCAATGCAGGACAAGCCTGGGGGTAGCATTTTGACTCTTGGACTGGCGTTGGACCGGTTCATTACTCCCGATAGCCGGCTCAAGGGGGGGGGGGGGGGGGGGGGCCTTCCCCAGATTCGAAACGCCAGGCCACGCTTCTAACATGCCAACGTCGGTGGATCACGAGACATTATCAAGCTCACCATGGGGTGCTGGAACTGACGGTGATTCGATACGGAACCGATACGTCGGACACGGATCCCCAGTCACTCAGTTCTGGGCGTCGCCAATGGTGCTTGTACCTGTCAAGCAATCAGTGCAAAGGATGCCAATGTATCTTGGACGCATTGCCACGATCAAGAACCAGATCGGCGTGCTCGGCGATAGGCGACGCCTGGACCGACCGTAGGTAGGCTCTTCCCAGTTTTAAGTAGAGATGCGGTGGATATACAATCAGCAGTCCCCAAACGGCAGAAATTGTAGGGGAACCAAGATGGTCCTAGCCTATCAAGTCGAGCACGCAAACACCAGATTTCCCCGGGTATCCATACTGGAGCCCATCCATCGAAGCACAAGCGAGAATGGAACCGCAATTCTTTTCCCTCCTCTTTTTGGTCGCCCCCCTCGGTGGCACCAGTGAATATCAACAAGGCTCGGCACCCCTGGCTTGCTGCACATATCATCGCCAACTACTATTTTCAGACTCGGTCACGCGAACCGATCCCACACTCAAAGGAAACTATCGCTTTCTGCGGTGGCTTCGCATCCTTCGGGTCCAATGTCGGTAAGGGTGCCGTAAACTCGAGGCATTGCGACAGTCCGTAGAGCATCCAACAGGCATTCCAGGAGCACTTTGCCGGAGCTGAGCGGGCTAGTCTGAAATGGGATTAGATTGCCCGTCAGATATCGTACAAGGCCGGGCCTGCCTTCCGGAAGGGCGCTTCCTTCGCCCTTTGCTGCCGCTTGTGGCGTTTTACCAGTGCTTGCAAAAGTGTACGGTAGATTACATGCTCACGCGAGGGTAAACTGCATTGGCCCGAGGCGATTCCTGGCCCTTGAGCCACCGAAGGATCTGCGAAGCGACCTCGGGACGACGAGACATCCCAGACAGATCAGGGGGGGGGGAGTGATTGTGGAGACTGGAGCAAAGGAAACACCCTCTGCTTGTGACGCTTCTGGCAGTGTCAAAACATCGGCTCGAAGGAGTCGATGAATCATGAGACCACCCTAGCCACCGGGGTCATGGGCCGAAGCTCGTTGAATGGCATTGCATCAAATACGCACTTGGGGGTTGCAGCTGGTATTGATGATCTACACAGCTACGTACAGCTTCATTGCAGGCTCGATAACCTCGGCTAGTCTTGGACCGGGTCTGGGGAAGTGGATCCAGGAGAGCAACGACGATCAAGCGCCAACAGAACATGCTCGTCTGTTGTGATCGAAAAACATATCACAGTTTCTCCCAAGGACCTTCGACAACGCTGCAGACCTTGGTTGGGTTACAACGCATACTTCACCAGGCTTGTCTAGACGGAAGCCCTCTCAATACCCATCCTTACCAAATATCGGCGCATGAAGCCGAATGTGGCGAGACAATCCATCCAACAACGTTCCAATACCGTACGAACCTTCGCAGTCCAACTGCACTTATCCGGGAATGGGTCGACACACAAGTACGGCCGTTGACCAAGGCAACCAACCAGTCAAGGACGACTCCAGTCCCCATTCGCTTCGCTTAACAGATGCCGCAATTTACGCCCGCATTTGCTGGTCTCCGGCGAGTCAAGTAACGACACTTAGCCTTCCAACATCACAGGTCCCAGTTATTCAATAACATGTCTAGCCTGTCTAGGCTTCCGCGGCCCAGGCACACTACCAAGCCATGCGCGCTTTACCCCAGGGTTCACGTTTCTCCTACAGTACACACCACCTTCGACCCATCCCATCTCCTACTGCGATCAGCCTTTACCTCTTCGGGCCCCCCACGAACGGTGCCAACCAATCGCTTGCGGGTGGTTAAATACGTCCTTCTTTTGCCGGCCCTTTTATCCCGACGGCGCCCTTCTCACGAGGCCACATGCGCTGGTCTGCCATAGGTCAGCCAGCTCGACACCCAGCCGCATTTCGCTGGGGCCAGACAGAGCCATGGAACCGATTTCTCGTAGACTAGCGCCTTGGTCACTTCAGGTAAGGCATTTCTTGGGTTTGACTTGCCCAGGCCTTGTTCCGCAATGGCTGAAGCTTACCCAGGCTAGGCTTCTGGGCATCGCGAATGACCCGTACTTTGGGATTTACATTGCCACTCTGGCGAACCCGCAAAGTCGGGTCTCCTGCGAGCCAGAGAAGGTGTTACAAACCAGCGACACTAAGCTTTCCGGCGGCCCATACCGCCTAGGACTTTCAGCATCTGACTTGTCGATGCAAAGAGTGGGTGTCTACTGTGAATTGCTTACTGATGCATAGCAACCCTGGTTGTTGCGGTGCCGTCAGTCTGCCAGGCACTAGGTACAAGCTCGGAGCGGTAAGCGGCTGTCATACGTTGAACTTTCACGGGACGGACCCGCCCTAAGTGAGCTGTAACTGATAATCTGCATCGGCCATCCTTCAATGGATGAACTGGTGGCCAGGAGACACCTGAGGCTAGTACAGCCTTACTACCTATTGCTCGACCTAGGGGTCCTACAGTTAACATCTTCCTGGAACGCCACTATTCTAGGACGTTGCTGAAAGTTTCTGGGACGACGCTTAGGCTGAATTTGCAACCGCCCAAGGGAAACCTTCCAGCCCCCCCCTGCTCTTCGTGCTCGAAAGTTGCAATGTCACGCAAATGGGTGACAAAAGTTTGACATAGCATTTTTTGTGTTGCAAATCACCGGGCCAGGTTATGAATGGCGCGTTGAGCTGTCTGTCTTCCAAAAGCAACAGGGCTCAGTCCACGAATCACTGCACAGCAGCCCTTGCACCCCGTGTCGACGTATGTTCCGGGCCGGGGTGGTGGTCTGCATCTGTGCCGCAAACCAACCAACCCAGTTGGGCTGCCTAGGTCTTTCCGGGGCAATCTACCTATTCTGCATGGCCTCTCCCCGCAGGAGGTCAAGCAGAGAGGGGGAGAGAAAGTGAGAGAGAGAGAGAGGCAGAGAGGCAGAGAGACAGAGAGACAGAGAGACAGAGCGAGAGCGAGAGAGAGAAACAGGCACACAATTTGTCCATGCCGGTGAGCGACCTAGATTCGGTTTGAACGCCAGGCCTTCCTGGAGAGGCTTACGACCCCAGTCACTCTGTCCATTTTTACCCGCTACCGCCAATTCGTCCCGTCGCCGCCGCACCCCTCCCCCAGTCTCAGTCCACCACACCCCCGCCTCCCCAGATACCTTCTTCACGGGGTAAGCACCTCCAAATGGGGTGACAATTTCATCTCTCCGGGGTCAGCAGCCGTGCAGATCAAAAACTAACAATTGGGTGCCTCCTACATCCGATGGTAAGGGACCAGGGGCGAGGGGGGAAAAAGACATATAAATCCACGACGCTGGCCCTGTCTGTTGATCGTTTCTGCCTCTCCCCACCCGCAAGTCGGCCAAGTTAACTTCAATACTCTCCCTGCCAGCCCTTGACACTCTCTCCTGGTCTTTAGGAAGCCAAGCCGTCAGACACCGCTACAATGGCGATCGCTGTCAACGTTGACATCGCGCAGGCCGAAGCACCGCGCTTCGAGAAGGTCTACTGGACCAAGGAGCCCCATCTCCGCAAGCTTTACTTCTCGACCATCTTCCTCATGGTCGCCTCGGCTACGAGCGGTTACGATGGTATGCTCGTCAACACGTCCCAGCAGATGTCGCGGTTTAAGGACTTCTTTGGTGACGGTGTCTCGGACAACAACAAGCTCGGCATCCTCATCAACATGTTCAACATTGGTTCCATCATCTCCTTCTTCATCACTCCTTACGTGGCCGACAACTACGGACGTAAGATGGCCATCGTGGCTGGCTGTTGTTTCATGGTTGTCGGCGGCTGCATTACCGCCTTCTGCAACGGCTGGGGAAGTAAGTGGGACAGAAAACCATGACCTGTGAACCCGAGCAATGGACTGACTTTTGTAGTGTACATCGGCGGTCGTTTTATTCTCGGTTTCGGCAACTCTTTGGCTCAGATGTCGTCGCCCCTGCTCCTGACCGAGATTTGCCATCCTCAACACCGTGGTCCTGTTACTGCCGTTAGTTCCTTTGCCCTCTTACCCAACCAAGCCATCCACGAAGACGGAGAGCAATCTCACAACGTCTCTCGCGAGGCGTTTCAAAGTATACTTGCTGACTTTGTAAACACACTAGATATACAACTGCTTGTGGAACTTGGGCGCGCTCATTGTCTCTTCCATCGGGTGGGGAACCTCTTACGTTGGCAACGACTGGTCCTGGCGGTCCATCACCTTTATTCAGATCGTCCCCTCCGTCGTCCAGCTCGTGGGAATCTGGTGGGTGCCGGAGTCCCCGCGTTATCTCTGCAACAAGGACCGCTCCGAGGAAGCCCTTGCGGTTCTGGCCAAGCACCACGCCGGCGGCGACTACAACAACGCCACTGTTCAGTTCGAGTTCCGCGAGATGAAGGAGACCATTACCATGGAGAGAGACGCGTCGAAGACGACCAGCTACTTGGACTTTCTTAGAACAAAGGGCAACAGGTGGCGTCTCGCCATTGTCATTTCCCTCGGTGTCATCTCCCAGTACTCGGGCAACGCGCTGTTCTCCAACTACATGGACGCCATCTACATAGGAGCGGGCATCACTGAACAGAACCAGAAGCTCGCCATCTCCACCGGCAAGTCGATCCTCGATCTCTCGTGCTCTATCGGAGCCGCCCTGACGGTCGACTACTTTGGTCGTCGCCCTCTGTTCCTCGTGTCTATGAGCGGTATGGTCGCCGCCTTCGTCTTGTGGACCATCACCGGTGCCGTCTACGAGAACTCGGGCGGCTCCAACGCGGGTTCCGGCTACGCCCAGCTGGTCTTCATCTGGATCTTTGGCATCTTCTACGACATTGGGTTTTCCGGTCTGCTCGTCGCTTATGCTCTCGAGGTTCTGCCCTTCCATCTCCGTGCGAAGGGTATGATGATTATGAACATCCCCGTTCAAGCCATTCTGGCCATCGGAAAGTGCGTTGAACCCCCCCCGTGTCCTCTAACCAATTCGATCCCAGCTAACATTCCCCCCCCCCCCCCCTAGCCAAACCAACAAGGTCGCGTGGGACAACCTTCCCAACCACTGGAACTTCATGCTGTTCTACACCCTGTGGGACGCGGTCGAGCTCGTCTTTGTCTACTTCTTCTACGTCGAGACCAAGGGTCCCACACTCGAGGAGATCTCCAAGATCTTTGATGGTGACGCCGCCATTGGCCAGGTCGACGCCGCCCAGCTTGAGAAGGAGATTCAAGCCGATCACCACGAGGAGGACATTAACACGCGGGCTGCGCACAGCGAGAAGACGGCTGCTTGAGGCGTCCTTGACACCACGACGGCCCTCCCCTGCTAACTAGGGGAAAAAAAAAACAAGAAAAAAAAAAAAACAAGCGATATCCAGTTCTCGCACGCCCTTATGTAATGCACCTGTTTGGGTCCTTTCTTGCCTAGTCTGGTGATGGATATAATGAGAGCCCGGCACGTTGGCCGGGCTTAGGCTTGGGGATTGACCATGATACCAGAGGTGTTCGCGACGTATGGTGTGATTTTCCTCCCTCTTTTACCTGTAGAAGGGGATTAGATCCGGCACCTGCGAAGCGTCGCTTTACCGAATACTCTCATTTCAAGTAGCTATTCGATACTCGCATGGCGTCGTCCTTTGGAGGGCGCCCTGCAGCAATACGACGTGTTACTTTTGCGCAAGTGCCTTTGCCAAGCTTCCTGCCGCGAGAATGCCAACCTCAGTGAAGCTTTCTCGCCCCCCCCCCTCATGTTTCACTGTTGGTGCACCAACTCTCCAAGACACTTGAACCCCCACCCCCAACCGTGGTTCACTATTCAGAGTTCGAGACGGCGCTAATGCCGGTGCCCGTATGAGAAAGTGCTATGTAGGGTGTATACAAATTATCCATCCCAATGGGAAGCGGGAGGGGGGAGGGGGACGAGAAGGATTTCGAATTGGGGGGAATTGCTTTTCCTGACAGGGGGGGGTTTTTGCCGGCTTATTGTGTTTGTGTACGGGTGCTACATACGGATACATACTCTATGTTTGTATTTATGCATGTATGTGTGGTCCCTCCCGGGTGGTCGACAGACTTGGCGTGGGACTTGACGGGGGGGGGGGGGGGGTGGTATAAGAGAGAGAGAGAGAGGCGGGCCGCGAGACCGGTGGCTTTTTTGGTTGGTACGTGCGTGATGTGTTTTTTTTTTTCTTCTTTTCAAAAGGCGAGTGGGAGCGAAAGCAGCAGCAGGGGGGGAAGGTGGGGAGAGAGGGAAGTTGGGGAAAGGGCGGCGGCGGGGGTTTACATTCCACAAGCATTGCGGAGAAGAAGCTGGAGAAGGAGGGGGGATGTGCTGGTGCTGGTTTCCTGTGCCGTTCGTTTCCCCCCTCCGCTGCGTCCCGTATTGATTGCGAGGCGTCAGTCAGTCAGTCCGTTCCGTCCGATGGCTCGCGGGCAGTGGGGACGACGCAGGGTGACTTTCTTCTTCTTTTTTTTCTCCCTTTTTTTCTCTCCTTGCTTTTCCCCTTTTGAACGGTATACCTAGGTGCGTTTGCATGCGGAATCTGCACTGCATGGCCTCGGGACCGGGGTGCGTCTCTCGGCGCGGATCACGAGGTTGTTCTATTGTGCGAGTCTGAGGTGACAGGAAATGGGGGGGGGGGATTCCTCGAGCAGCCATGTCTCGCTCTTCTGGGGTTCAATGTCGTACTAGGGTTTTCGTCCCGGGCCTGTCTTGGAGAGCATCGCTCGACATCCGCACAGGAAGGGGGGATGGACGACGGCCCTCGCGCCCGTGACCGTGAGTGATGCGGTGCTACCAGTTCAAAGCGAAATAAACAACTTGATTGATATTCCCGACCCATAACCATCTAATACTTGCTGGCTGGCTGGCTGTCTATTTAATAATCTAGATAATGTTACACCGGGGGGCGATAACCGAATTCTCCCCCCTTTTGCACGCATGGCACATACCGCGCGTCAGACCCCCAACTCGCCACCGACAACCTCGAGAGCCTCGTTGCACAGCGCCAACACGGCTGCATCGCCCGAACTGCCCGCCACTTGCACGGCGCTCACGAGCAACGGGTACAGCCGCAGCAAGTGCTTCCGCCCCTCGCTGTCGACATTGGGCGTGTCCGGGATGGCGTCCGCCTCGGATGTCAGGTCGACGAGCTGCCGCAGCACACAAAGGAGCTCCTTGCGCTGTGAAAGCGGCTGCGGCATGCGGCCCCTCAAGGGCTGGTCCGCGATGTAGGCGCGTATCGTCAGCGCCGCGCGGAGGATGAGGAACGGCGCGGCCGACCGCGCGATCCGCACGTGCAGCGCCTGTGGGGCCTCGGAGAGGTGGGACGCCCCCGACGACCGCGGCGGCGGGAACGCGGGCGTCGGCGGCTGCACGACGATGCGTAGGCTCGCCGCGTCGTAGCTCGATACCAGGGAGAAGAGCTCGTCGACGCAGACGTACGACATGCGCTCGCGCAGCGTCGGGAGCGGGTCCAGCGTGCGCCCCGTGCGCTTCTTGTAGAGGCTCGCGAGGCCGTTGCCCTCCGAGTTGCCTTTGGGGCCGAAGATGAGGGAGGACTCGACCGGCGACGGCGCGTGGATGATGGAGGTGCGGAACAGGCTCTCGGCGTACGACTTGCGCGTCTTGTCCGGGATCGCCTCGGCGCCGAGCGCGGGGATGATGAGCTCGCGGAGCTTGTGGAAGGACGTTATGTCAAACGACTCGTCGTCTGAAAGGTCGGCCGATGTTGGTGCGGCGTTGGTGTCTGCGCTGATGATGCCGTCGGCGATCTCGACAACCATCTGCCATATGCCTTGCAGGGTTGAGCGCGGGACTTTCAGAGCACGGATCTGCGGGAGCGTCGCCTCCAGGACCGCGAGGATCGAGTTCGTGGCAAGCTGCCAGGGCTGGGCTGACTTGGTCACGATGGGGAAGCTGTATTTGAGGACCAGGGGTTTGGAGAGCGCCGAGAGCGCCGCGGAGAAGGCCTCGCTGGCGTATATGTCTGCATCGCTCGCGTTGAGGAGGATGAGCGTCTGCAGAATGGACATGCTCGCCTTGGACATAGCCACGTACGTCCTTCGTTGCGTCGAGCTCTGGGCCTTGGGCGCCTCGTCGCTAAATGCGAGCCGTACGAATTCTGCCACCTGCGAGATCATGGCAGAAGGCACCCCGGCGAGGTCTGTCCGCACCATCTTGATGGCCTTGAGGACTTGGTTTTGAAGTGGCGTGACGTACTCAACATCGTTGACGTAGGCTCCCACGGTGGCCTGTTGCAGGGCCTCACGGAAGAGGGTCAGCATCTGGCGGACCCTGTCGACTGTCAGGTCCTTTTGAACGAGCTGGTACACGTCATGGAACGCGGCGACATAGGCAATGAGGCAGTTCTGGTTGTCCGTCTTCTTTCCGTCACCCTCGTCCAGGGAGACCGGCGTTCCTCGTGACCAGAACTCCCATGCGGTGTTGATGGTGCTGGTGTCAAAAACGGCCATGCCGGGCTCGTGGTCGAGCTCGATGACCTTGCCCAGAGCCTTGTAGGCGGCCGTATTGATGTCCAGGACCTTGAAGTTGAGCAGAGTCACAAAGTGGCCCAAGAGTTCTTGCCACAGCGCGTTGAAAGAGGAATGGGCCGAGAGCGGCTCCATGTAGCTGGCCAAAAGCTCCGAGATGCCATTCAAAACAACGACTGCAGTCTCGTGCCACTCTTTGCGTTCGTGGTGCGTCGAGCCATCGCCGGCAGCGGCTTCAAGCTCTTGTTCAATCGACGACAAAAGCTTGAACACGACAGACTTGACGCAGGTGGCCCAGGCTTCTGGACTCAGTTTATCACCATAGGCATCAAATATCCTCAGCAGGGTCTGGATTGCGCTGTTGCGGAGCTCTAGCCGCCCATCCGCAGTTACGGTGGTCAGTCTCAGTAGCAAAAGCATCCAGAGAGCGGCGTCCGACGCATTGTGTTCCGAGTCCGCGGCCAGGGCTGCCAGGTCAGTTATACTCGAGCCCTGCATCAAGTCGGCGGTGATGGGAAGGGTCTCGGTCTTGCCAGAGAGAAAGTCTGACAGAACCCAGAAGAACGTGACAGTCTGCCAAAGTCAGGTCTATACCAATAGATTAAGGGGGGGGGGAGGGGGTGGAGAACATACCGTGAGCGCAATGTTGAGGTCGTCATCTTGCGAGCAGAATTTGTAAAGGGTATCAACGAGTATAAGAAAGCAGGAATTCGGCAAAGACGCTAAGAAGTCGGAGCAAATAAGTTGAAGAGAATTGAAGGAAGACCGGACAAGCTTCGCCGACCGCGTCATGAGGACGGCTGTCTGGGAGCCCCGACGCTCTCCCGTCGCGAACTTTCTGTTGATGAAAATGGAGCCGATGATCTCGAAAGCAATCTCCCACCCGCTGACGAGCGTCTCGCCGCAGTTCTCGAGGAGACTCTTCAGTCCTTCGAGAATTACCTTGTGGATGTCAACGTCTGTGCCGTGGCTGGCGACTGTGACCTCCCTGTCCTCCCGTTGTAGTGGCAAAAGAGCATCGCGGAGGGCTTCTAACAACAGCAACTGCACGCCCCCGCACTGCTTGCGCTCCATCGTCGCAGCGACATTGGCAGATTCCAGTGCTAGTCTCACTATAATCTCTGCAGCACGGAGCCTTACGGAGGCGTTCATTGAAGACGAGTTGAGGACGTGGATGAGCTCAGACGTCAGTGCTGCCCACCCAGAAACGTCAGGCGGGTACGTCAAGAGACGGTCGATGTTGATCGTGGCGATATCCCCCAACTTGGCTAGGGCGAAATGGTCTTCTTGGTTTGGTCCTGCGGCCGCTGCGGTCGAGATGCTGAGCACTCGGCGGTGCTGGCCAGTGTGGGGTGGCTTAATGCTACCAGAAGCGGGTGATTGCGGCTGGCTGACAGTCTCCGTCTTGGGCTTATCTTCGTCTGTCCTTTCCAGGAGATTGCATACCGCTGTCACCACTTCCCCGAATGCATCGTTGGGGAAGTCTATTGTGCTTTCGATGAGACGGGACGCCGCGGTCTCGACGGCCCGGACTTCGCTGCCAAAGTTGGATAGAAGGGCATTCGCTTCGCCCTCAGCATGGTGGTCTGTCCCTTTCGTTGCAAGAGGTGTCCTCCCAGGAGTCTTACTCGTGGAGAAGAGAACAAAGTCGGCTTGCTGCAGAGTCTCGAGAATGATGCGCCATGAGGGGCCGAGAGTTGGACCAAGAGCAATTCCGAGATTGAGAAGCGCCCTCAAGCATAGAAGGTTACGAGTGTTGAGTGCCATCTGACTTCCTTCGAGTCCTTGTTGTCTTCCCCTGTCGACGGCGGGCGACGATTGGGTCACAAGGCTGTCGACGCTTAGTATCCCTCGCGCGTTACTCAGAATACTGTTTGGTGCTTCTGTGGTCGGCGTAGGCGTCGTCGGCCGGGCGGTCCCGGCATTTAGGCACGCCGTGAATACGTTCGGGGGTACTGCCGCCTTGCCCAGTGTTGTCAAGAATGCGTCTCTAGGCGTGGCCAGCTGGAGTAGCCCGGCAACATGGGCGAACTTTTGGAACGCTCTTACAAGGCTGTGGTAATACTCCGAATCCATTGCAGCGTACAAAAAAGTCGAACATGTGGCCAGCACAGCTGGCCAGCATTCCTCAATGATGGCTGCGCATATCTTGACTTCGTTGTGAAGGGGATGGTCTTCCAAAGCGAGAGGGTTGAGAGGCACTGGGTTCTTCTTGAAAGAAGCCGCTCGTTCCAATGCAATTCGTGATCCATCCGTGCCATCCTGCGGGGGCGCCGAAGAGTCGCGCTCTGGCTCCTGCTTACCGTTCTTCTTGCGGCTGCGGCTATCTCCTGGCACCGTGAGCGGAAGGATAAACTTGGCAAGGCCCTCGGAAAGTGATGAGATGCAGGACAAGGTCAAGCTGTAGATGTAGGTCTCGGGAATCGGCGGTGCCTCAGTTTTGTCAAGTTGGTCAATACAAGGAACCCTTACGCTGCTCCATTGCGTACTAATACCGATATTGGAACCATCCGCATCGACGGTGCCACTGATGATGCCCGTGACGCCGCTAGCCTCGAGCATGGCTTGGTCAGTGGATGATGCGATGCTGGCGTATGGATTCGCCACCGGAATAGTGGACTGATGACCGAGCCCAATGACGGCCGGCTTCTCTGTACTGAGCCGCACAAATGTCGCCGTCAGGTGCTTGAGGACGTCTTTCTCGCCTTCTTTTGCATCGTAGTTGACGAATATCCGTCGAATGAGAGCGTGCTCCGAAAAGATGCCCCGAAACACTTCCAAGCATAGAGCTCGCTTCCATGTTGCCGTTTCCTGGTCTAGTAGGTTGGTTAGGATGTCTAGAGCATCGCCGCTTTCTGATGGAAGAATGTTGATGTGTCGTCTCAATAGCGTATATAAAATCCGGACCAGCCTGACCGTTGTGGCGAAGTTTGGCTTCCCTTTGAGCGCACTGATAATGAAGGGCATGACCCGGATCTGCAGGATATGTGCTTGCTCTTTGTGGGTCGAAAAGACAGCCGCGTGGTTTGTCAGAACAGATTCTATCAGCTCGAGCCCAAACGTTTGCGGAAGTCCAGAGAACCTCAGATACTCGGGACGCTGGTTTTCTGTCATGAGGCACAGGTCGTTGAATATCTTTTGGCTATTAGTCTGACGAACTCCACTGTCGGGATCGAATACCTACTCTGTACGCATCCAGCGCTGCTGCGCGCAGCTCAACTGTGCCGTCGCCGGCCGGCGCCTCGCCAGCGGGAGGCCCCGGGGATGCAGTTTCTGTCTCTTTGTCAGTGACACACTCGAACTTCTTCTAGGTGTGGGATGGATCCATACTGTCTTCAGTGACAACCTTGTCAAATACGGATACTACAAGCTGCTGCAGGGTTGCGGCCGAAGTGTTGTTGACGATGGCATTCTTGCTCGTCTGCAGGATGAAGCAAATGTTCAGCGTAGTGATCAGGAGGTCGCCTTTCAGATCGGCGGCGTAGTTCTGCAGCAACGAAGGTAAAGCCTGAAGGATCTTGAGTTGGACATCCAGACCTGCCGAGGTTGCCTCCCTGAGAGCTTCGAGAACCTGATTCAGCTTCCCTCTAGGGAGAGCGCGGGCAACAATAAGCCTCTGGAGGCAGACAATGGCGATGCCGGTGAACTTTGCATTCTTAGTCCCGCAAGCAACGATGAAGGGATTGACAAAGTTTGGTCTCTGGGCCAGCTCTGGGGCAGAAGTCAGACACGGACGAGTGCTTCATCACGAAAGGTGGACACGAGGGATGATACCATTGGCAGCTTGGGCTTCACTAGCCCCTCTCAGTCCCTTGAGCTCCTCGAGAGACTTCTCGGCCGCCTGTATTGAGAAGTTTTAGCATGTCAATGGCAAGGTTGAGAAGATAGGCTGCTTACCTGTCTGAGGTCATTGTGTTTCCGCTTGCTTTCTTGGATGAGATTCGTTAGCTCCGTAGCTAGGAGCTGGGTCGTCATTCTGTCACAAGTGGCCTCTCGGGCAGTCCATCGTCGAGCTGGGATGCTTCAGGTAATAGGAGGTGGGCACAAGAAATCGTACGCGTTGTGAAATGGCAGTGTGAGCGAATCGCAAACTGTTGAGGAAATAGGAATGCTGTGGGTGTTGATAGAACATGAACAGAGCAAGGGAGCTGCCGACTAGACAACTTCACCGCGCAGCTCACCCATAGCACCCGATCGAGGTGAGCTGTCCACCTTGCATGATGACTAAGGCAACACCGCTGGAAGTACCCTCACCGCTTTCCCCGAACGGAGCAACAGTCTTCACCGCCTGGAAGATGCCCCGCGTTGGCTTGTGCACCTAATTACACAAGTACCTGCCTATAGGTACCTACCCACCTACCTAGGCACCTACTTAGGTACCTAGCAGGTAAGGTGTCAAGCCTCTCCAGCGCCTCCAGGCACTGGGCTGCTGCTGTATTACACTGGTCGAACCCCGCTGTATTTGTAAACCGATCGCTGCTTGCCCGCTTGCGGCTGGCTACCTTACTCATTGGACGTTAGGTAAGAACCCTCCGGCCAGTCCCTCCCACTTCGCAGCCCCTCCATCTTGGACATCCACAACCTCCCGTTACCTCACCCCCCACCGCAACCAACCTCAACTCTGCTCGATATCTACAAACGACGCGAGAAATCATGGGCGCAAAGGTTCCGCGCAACTTTAGACTCCTCGAGGAGCTCGAGAAGGGCGAAAAAGGTCTTGGAGCAGGTACGTGAAGCCCCCCCCCCCCCCCCGGCGCCTAACGCAAGCAAGCCCAAGCCCCCCCACGCATCCCGACTAACGATCCCAATTGCAGAGGCTTGCTCCTACGGCCTGAACGATGCCGAGGACCTCTTGATGTCCGACTGGAACGGCACCATTCTGGGTCCCCCTCACGTTAGTACTTCGGCCCACCATGAAGCCTCTGGCTCTATCTCTTGCGCGAATGGTCACTGACAGACTCCATGGTGCAGAGTGTCCACGAGAACCGAATCTACTCCCTCAAGATGCACTGCGGACCTAACTACCCCGATGAGCCCCCCACGATACAGTTTGTCAGCCAGGTCAACCTGCCCTGCGTCAACTCTCGCAACGGCGTTGTCGACCACAAGCAGCTGCCATGCTTGGCTAACTGGAAGAGGGAGAACACCATGGAGACCATCTTGATTGAGCTCAGAAGGTACGTCGGTACATGCGCCTGGCTACGCGCTGTGTCGCCCGACAACACGGATTAGGCGAAGCTGACTGTTTGATTCCTAGATACATGGCGGCCCCGGCGAACAAAAAGATTCCCCAGCCTCCCGAGGGCTCGACGTACCAGTAACCTATTTTCATGATTCCCCAATATGCTCGAAAAAGGACATAGGAGGAACAGGCGGGCATGATTCTTGGTACAAGTAGTATGGCTCAATGATTACGACTTTCCCTTCAAACCATGATTGTTTTCTTGATCCATGCTGTCGGATCGTGCACGAAAGCAAGTATCTTATCCGAAACTTACTGAAATGGACAGCAAAAAAACATCAGGGCGGCGGCACAGTCCGTTGGAAGGAGTCTATAAAGGCTGTGATTATAGATCTCGACACCTTCTGGACCCAACTTCTTTCTTTCTACATGCCGACTGACTCTCTGATAACCTTGACATTGCACTTATGCGGGTCAACTTTCGCAGCCGCCATTCATTGATGAAACCTTGCCTGTCTTAATCGACCGATGGGACCGGAAATCATGCTAGTGTGTGAGGTGACGTACATACAGCACCTGGGCTCATGAACTAGGCTCTACTTCTACCCATTTGACCCAAACTTTGAGTGTGTTGCAAAGATAGCAGGTACGCGCCATATCGATGTTCGAACAAACATGTTCTAAAGCTTTCGGTTGTATGGATGAGCTGCCAATGCAAGGCCGCGTGGATAGCAAGTAGACACCTATGTAACTATATCCAGCATCTTGGACCACGGAGCGAGAACCACCTGGTGGGCCTCGGCCTCGGTCGTTGCCGTCGGCTAAATGTCGGCAGGCAGCTGCCGCCTCTGTCATCCCAGGCTTTTTTTTTTTCTCCATTGAACGACCCACGCATCCTTACTACCTTATTACGCGAGAGCTGTTCCCCGGGAGCTTACAACTCAGACTGATCCACGCACTTCCAACGTATGCCAATGCAGCAGCAAACATGGCTTCGGCGGTAACCAAGGCCGCCCTCTTCCCGCCTCTGCGACGAGCTCTCGTCCAGTCGCGCGGTTTCCAGACCAGCACCAAGAGCCTACTGCCCTCGGCTTTCGGCGTTGGCTCCAGCATTCCCCCGTCCTACTTCCAGAAGGCGTCGCTCCCCGCCAACACCATCATCCGCTTCGTTCCGCAGCAGACAGCATGGATTGTCGAGCGCATGGGCAAGTTCAATCGCATTCTCGAACCCGGTCTGGCCATCCTGGTTCCCTTCATCGACCGCATCTCCTACGTCAAGTCGCTCAAGGAAAACGCCCTCGAGATCCCCAGTCAGAGCGCCATCACGGCCGACAACGTCACCCTTGAGCTCGACGGTGTCCTGTACACCAGAGTTTTCGATGCCTACAAGGCCAGGTATGTTGACGCAGCCAGAACCTGTGGCTCCGTCGCTCATGAAACGGCAGACTGACTTGTTGTTAGCTACGGAGTCGAAGATGCCGAATACGCCATCTCGCAACTGGCGCAAACCACGATGCGATCCGAGATCGGCCAGCTGACCCTCGACCACGTCCTCAAGGAGCGCGCAGCTCTCAACACCAACATCACCGCCGCCATCAACGAGGCTGCACAAGCCTGGGGTGTTACCTGCCTGCGTTACGAGATCCGGGATATCCACGCGCCTGCCGGCGTCGTCGAGGCCATGCACCGCCAGGTCACCGCTGAGCGCTCCAAGCGAGCCGAGATTCTCGACTCCGAGGGTCAGCGGCAGTCGGCCATCAACATCGCCGAGGGTAAGAAGCAGAGCGTCATTCTCGCTTCCGAGGCCATGCGTTCCGAGCAGATCAACCGAGCGTCCGGTGAAGCTGAGGCTATTCTCATGAAGGCCAAGGCTACAGCGGCCGGAATCGACGCCATCGCCAAGAGCATCGCCAACGGCGAGGAGGCGGCACAGGGCGCCGTCAGCTTGTCCGTCGCCGAGAAGTACGTCGACGCATTTGCCAAGCTGGCCAAGGAGAGTACGGCGGTCGTTGTCCCCGGAAACGTTGGCGACATTGGAGGCATGATTGCGACAGGCCTGAGCGTCTACGGCAAGGTGGGCGAGGCGCAGGCCAGGACAATGGCAAAGCAGATTGCCAAGGGCTCGGAAGGGGAGCCCACTGACGATGCGCCCAAGGGGCCCAAGGAGCTGAAGGAGTCGGTGCTTGAGAGCTTCGACGAGGCTGCGGGCAACAAGTAATTCAGGAGGACGATGCTATGGCGTTGATGGACACTACGCGTAGAAGGATCAGGATGTGACAATATGTACTAGTATTACCAACTCGACACAAAAAGACGGGACGATGAGCGCCCATACACAGGCTTGAATTGACAATGTCCAAACACGCCTGTCCTGGGAAAAGCCACTTGTTCCTTCACCACAGCAGACCAGGCAGAGTGCCTCAGTGGACGCGACAAGAGGGAGGGCAGTAACATTGGTCAATGAATTTTATTGACAATTGAGACGAGGTAAGGGGTGAAAGGAGAGAGGCAGCTGGATCCTGTGTCAGGAGCCTCATCCGTTGATAAACCAACCAACTCCGTTGATACCTCCTCTTCACGTTGTCCTCCTTTGCTGAAGAACCGCTTTCCTCATAGCTCATCGATTGCTTCTAGCATTGTATGCTCCCGCCGTCTCCAGAAAGCATTTCACTTCCGCCCAAGCATGCAGCGTGATACTATTACAGAATGTCACTTTGAACGAAATGACTGGGCGTTGTGCCAGCAAACCCTCGCGTATTGCGGGCTTGTGGGTGGGAAAAGAGGAAGACAAAACAAGAAGAGAAAAAAGAAAAGAAGAAAGAAAAAAAAAGAAAAGAAAGAAATAAAATTGAATCAAAGATCCAGCCTTCCCGCTTTGTCCCGTCCTGAGAACAATTAAACACGCCGCCGCCGTTGCCGTAACCCAAGAGACTCCCTGTCTCTTATATCCGTGCGGGCTGTTTGTACAAGGTCTGTTTATTGACAAAGAAAATCGGTCATATGCATTGGGGTATCATGAAGCGATAGATATTGTTTGAATCGTCCCCCCCCCCTCCCCCGGGCCCCCCTCCATCGGGTGGGCCTTTCAACCGTCGTGTCCCCAGGAAGCGGCCTCGACCCCAGAGTTGCCGACAGCGCTCAGCCTGACGGCCTTCCTCTTCGCCAGCCCCCTGGTGGTGAAGCCCAGGGCGTCTTCGGGCGAGACGGGCGAGTCCGGCCTCGGGACGCCGCCGAACCGGACGACGTCGCCGTCGACCCCCGCCACCGCCCGGCCTCGCTCCTTGACCGGGGCGTGCTCGCCCCTCGGTCTCGACGGGAACGGCTCGTGTCCGTTCCGCTCCCCCGTCCTCAGCATCCGCCCGCGGTCCTTGCTGGGCGCGCCTTGTCGGGCGTCGCGGCCCCGGAAGAACGACGCGTCGCCCAACGGCTCGTCTTCGGTCTCGCTGCCGTTGTCGAAGTCCATGTAGTCGCTCAGGTCCGGGGTGGGCTCGGACAAGTCCATCGAGCCGACGTGGCCCACCGGCCGGTCCAGGTAGAGCGGGACGCGCTCGCGCTTAGCCTCGACCGGCGTTGCTTCCTGGACCGGCACCATCTTCCTCGCGCCGGTGGCCCGGGACAGCATCCTCGACGATGACCGCGGGCCAGGCTCAGCATGACGGGAGCTGCTGCGCTGATGGCTCTTGTCCGGGGCCGTCGACTCCGGACGGCTGCCGGAGGAGCGCGACCCGGCCCTGATGGTGCTGGCGGAGTTGGCAGACGTCTGGTGGCGGAGCGTCTGGGGCGGCTCGGGCCAGTTGATCTCGGTGATGGTCGTCTGCGAAGAGTTCCGTTGGTGGCGGTGCGGAGACGCACTCCTCACCTCCTCGTCGTACTCGGCCAGGATCGTCTCGCGCATCCGCGCCCGCTTCATCCTGAGGGCGGCGAGCAGCATCTCCTCCTGCCGCGTAACGGCCATGAACCGAGCGTCCGTCGTTCTGGGGCTGTCCGCGGGGGGCTCTGATGCGATGGAGGCCTTGGCCGACGTCGGGCTCATCGGCGGGGTCGGTTGATCGACGGAGCGAGTGGGCGTTGACTTTGTGGAAAGCACGCGCTGTGGCTGCTCCACGCGGACGGGTTGCCTGTGGAACTCGGTCGGGGGAGGGACAGAGCTGGCGCGGGTCTCGTGAACGCCGTAGGCCGGACGCATCGGACGGTCCCCTGTAGAGTTGGTCGTGGACGAGTTAGCCGAGTTCCGCGACAGCCGGCCCGATGCAGCCGGGGGCCTGTACGTCGTGGCCGGCAAAGAGCTCATCCGAGGAGGGTAGACGACCGGGGGCTGGCCCAAGGGTGGCTTGCTCGGGATGGCCAAGTACTCGCCGGGCTGGGAGAAGCTGGCGTGCTTCGTCGACCTCCTCGAGCTGTGCCCCACGGATGATGCATCCCGGGAATGAGCCGACCTCACCGACGACGAGGGGTCCAGGCTGCCGGCGTCGCTGCTCCGGGACCCCCCGGTAAATTTCGAGACCGAGTCCGTGAAAGCGTCGTCCTCTGAGTCCGACGACAGCGACAGCACGCTCTTTTCCGCCAGATCGGACTCATTGATACTCTGGCTCGTCCGCTTGGACGCCCTAGAAGTCTTGGTGTAACGACTCGAGACGCTCGACGCGCAGTCTCGGTCGGCCTGCCCCGTGGGTTTGGGCGGCTCTGGCGATACGCTGCGATGGATCTGGTACGCAGAAGATGCCCCCTCATGCCGGATTGGTGGCCTTGGAGCGTTCCTCTTCTGATCCGGTATTTGTCTGGCCTTGTCCAGGGACGGGTCCGATGCCGCCAAAGGATCGTCGTGACCGAGGACGCGGTCGAATGACATCTGCTCGTAGTTCTCGTACAGGTTGGGGAGCGTGCTGATATCATTAGCGCCCCTGCGGCTGCTCGACCCCGTCCTCGGGCGGCCAGTCATAGATTTTAAGCTGTCGAGCGTGCTTCTCCTCACCAGTTTCCGCTCGGCCCTCGGCGGGATCGGCGCTGGCGGCGGCATCTTCGACTCGTCACCGTCTCGTTGAGATTCGTTCTTGCTTCGGAAGCTGTGATGCTTATGTAGGGAGAACAAGGGAGCCAGGTCCAACCGGCTCGGCCGCTTCGTGAGCTTCGGGCCCGACGACACCATGTGGTTCGATTCCTTTCCTTCGATGTCGAGGACGGCGTTCGCTTTCTGGGGTAGCCCTTTGGCCATTGCGGAGGACGAGGTTTGTTGGGATATTGAAAGCGGCATCTTGGACTTGTCGTACCATGAAGTAATGGTCGAATTCGAGCCCCGTCGGGTCAGACTCGAGGTTTCGGTGAACTCCCGGTAGTCTGCGGTGTTGAGTTGCGAAAACCGGTTGGCCAGGTACGCCGGCACGATCTCAGACTCCTGCTCCCATTGCGTGGTGTTCCTGCGGCTGTTGCCGCCGCCGCCGCCGCCGCCGCCGCCGCCGTCGTCGTGGCGCGGGCCCCGGCTCCTCTCGCTCGTGTTGAAAGTCGCCGTGCTCTCGGACACGCAGACGCTGATGCCCGATGTGGTGGACGCAGTGTCCCATTGCCGCGGCGCGTCGATGTTGATCTCGGCGATACCCAGGATCTTTTGCGCCTTGGACATTGGCCCCGAAAACAATCGGGCCAAATGTCTCTTTCTGTTTCCGTCCCGGAACGGGGAATGTGAATTTGGACGTGCGGCCCATATCGACGAGCGGACGATGTCAAAAGACGGGCACTACTATGGTCGGTCAGCTAAGCCATTCGAGAGGCTCGCCATCTGGAGTGCGGTGCATAGAAAAATGAAATGAAATGAAATCATATAAAGCCGCTCTTCATCCTCCCGGATGGGTGGCCCGGCGATCATGGAGCGGCAGAGCTCGTAGTGGTGTGGGAGGGAGAGGAGGGACTACCTTGTCCAAGCAGGTTGACAACCCGCGTTATCGATGCATACGATTTCGGTGGGGGAGGGAAGCAAGCAGGCGACAAAACTCCATTCGTGGGTGATGTTTTTCAAAGTTTCCCGTTCGCGGATTTGGCTATCGATGTACCGTCCGGAGTCGTGCGCCGCGAAGCCTTCGTGTTGGTCGCACAGCAGATGGAAAAGAGTGCCAGTCTTCCCAACCGGCTTTCCCTCTGGCAGTAACACGCAGTAATGAGATAACGGCGCGGCATACGAAAAAACACCAAAGTGTGGTTTGGGATACGAGCCAAGACTCCTGTTTGCGTTTCCACTGGTATGATTTTCAGATCGGTCCGGTCCAAGCAGACTCTCTACCAGTTATCCGAATATGCTGGTCCTCGGCGCGTCGAACATGAGACTTGGAAGCGAGAGAAGGAAAAGGAAGAATCCGGTTCGGGGTGCGTCGACCACCTCGGGACATGGGCGATGAGAGGGAACAACGACGATGATATGCGTGACAGCACCAGTGGGACAAAAGTGGTTTTACTAGCCAGCTTGACGTGCGCGACAGCTTGCGATGGCCACCTGAACCTTACATCTCACGCCCTCTACTCTAAAGTCCTCCACCTCTGGCCCGACGCATCCCCCTCGTTAGCCGGGGTTGCCTGACTTACAGGTGATGAGGGTGGGAAGCCGTCAAGATTCTACATGGGTGGTGGCGGTCCACCGCACGCCATCCATGCAAGCCACACGAGACTGGTGGGAATGCCAGACAGAGAGGGAGCAAGGTCGGTCGGTCAGACAAGACTGGCGCGAACACACCCCTCCCCCAACGCCCCAGCGAACGCAATGGCTCTCGCTTTCCTCGCCCTCCCTCTTTCTCTCTTCCCCCTTCGCCCTTCGGGGGCTAAGGCAGGGGTTATCGACGGCCGGAAACAACCCCCTGAACTAGGAACTTTGATATTGGAAAAGAAGAAAGCAAGAGCTCCGTACTGCAGTACCTAGCCATAAAGGGTTGTAGTCTTCTTTGTCCGTGTACGAACGGACCATATAGTACGGCACCACACCATAGGGGATGGACGGTACACTATGGTGCAACCAACATGACGGACAAGAACAAAGAAATGCCGAGAGACTGCATTGAGGGCGACAACACTTCCCGTGTTCTTTCGTATCAAAATTGGCATCAGGAAAGCCAAGCAGGCTATGGTATGTCGAAACCCGTCCTGTCTCCTTGCCCCTATCTCCCAGCCGAAGATCACGAGAATCACTTCATGCTTTGGAACGGGATGAATGATCTATCATCTATCTCTACGGGTAAT